CAAGATGTTAGGAAGTTAGGCTCCTAAATTTGATTATTCTACAAAATTGTAAATTAACCATCCCATTTGAATTAAAAAAAAATAAAAAGTACTTCGAGGTGGGGTTGGGTTAAAAAATCTATCAAACTATGACGTATAAAGCTTCCCACTTTGCGAGGGTTGAGACCTTTTCTTTGTATTTTTATAAAGAAATTAGTTTTAAAATTCGAAATTGTGATCTTTCTATAACAAATGAGCAATTATACTATTGATACTAAATATATATATACATACTGATATATATTATCATCATTAATTATATGATTTATAGATAAAATATTAAAATTTTAATTTTAATAATAATGATTAGATGTTTTACATCTTAAGTACCACAAATAAAAACTCGTATTCCTAAAGAAACGTTTCGATAACTAAAATATAAGACTATAATTTGGAGACTATAAAAATGTGGTTGACAAATGGAGGTTGCAAAGGAAACTAATAGATGTAGATGAGTCCAAGCATTCAAGTTAAACTACGCTAACCAACACCATACGATGCGTTTTATTTTAATTTTTTTAAATCAGGTCAATGAAATTATATACCTGTAAAATTAGTTAGCAGATCTTGGATCTTCCAATTTTAAAATAGTAATGTTTTCTAGTATTGACCAATGACCGGTCCATAAACTTAATTCGGAACATTTATTATGTTTATTCCTTTAATTTCATTGGTTGGTTAAAAAATTGACCTACCATAACGATTTAATTTTGATATTATAATAAATAATAAATGCTAACATCATTAATTACATTTGCAGGGATTCTGCTTATTGATTGATAGTCATGACTTTTTTTTTTTTTTCAAAGAAGGTAAATGTTAGTATAAAAAAAAAAAAAGATGACGGGATTAGAATTTACATTTATGTGTCTTTTTAGAAGTCTCTTAATCATTGAATCAAGAGGTGAAAAATAATAGTCTGACATTGATTTAAAAGAAGCCAACTTGTCAAAATTCAAGAAGGATCTTGGAACTTGCAAATGTTGACATATAAAATTTGAAGGTTTTCAATTTAAAATTATTTTGGTTTATCTGTGCAATTATTTTTAATAAGTGATATTTAATTAATATGATATTTAAATTTTAAATTATAATTTTTTTAATAAAAAAATTTAAAGTTTTTGACAAAAGTTGATGCTATTTTAACTATTCAAATGCTTGCAACGCAAATAGTGGCTGTAGTTTCGTAGAAGATCATAAAATTTCTAAGTAATGAATGTTTATGGTAATGAAAAGGAAATTCTATTTTTGAATTTCATTTATTGAAGTAAACATTTTTTTTTCTTTTAAACATAATCATTTGAATCCCTAATAATACATCCTCGTGATTAAAATTTACAATATAAAATTTTCTAATTCCAGTTTTAAGGTCTGATGTTAAACTGAGTAATTTTTAATTTTTTATGTTGACGCACAAATGAAATTAGCTTTTGCAGAAGCTTTTATTTCACTATCGTGGGATCGATCTTAGAACAAAAGAAGGGTCAACCAAGTCTTAAATGTGGAGTATAAGGAAATATAATAATGTAAAAAATGAAATAAAAAAAATATTAATGTAATATAATTTAAAATTTTAATAAAAATTACATATTATTTTAATAAAATAAAATTTTATTTTATATTTTCATACTAATATAAATTATTATATAAAATATGATATAAATTATAAATTATAAATATTTTATTCAACACAAATAAATAATTATTAAGTCTAACTTTAAAGTTTCCACCGAAAAGCAAAAGGGCAAAACAGTCCAATTTTTTGTCTCTCGTCTATGCTTCTTTTTCTTTATTAACTTCTCCTTCCCTAATAATCCTCAAATTGGTGTCCCATACTCAACTAGTCACAGATGTCTCGTATTACTATAATATGCTTTTTTTATTTGGTACATCAAATCATAAGTTTATAACATAAGATCACGTTTTAATTTCGCTTATTATTACAAATTATTTATATTTTTTTTTATAAAAGAGATTATAATATAAATAAAAAAATTATAAATGTTGAAATTTAAATTATAAATTTATTAAATATTATTTTTTAATAATTATTATATAAATTGATTGAATTAAATTTTAGATTCATTATATAAAAATTGTTTGATTATAATTATATTTATCATAAGTGAAAGTGATAATATATAAAATTTGAAATAAGTTTTTGTTAAATTAAAAACTCTTAGTAAACATGAACTCGTCACACTCGTACATGTACCTAGTTAAAGATGAAAATGGCAAATTTTGGGAAACTTTTAACGGAATTTTAAAATTTTTTTCCTTAAAACTTGGTTTAGATTTGCGAAATTTTCCATAATTACATCAACAGGTTTGCCAAAATCAGAAAAAAAAAAAAAAAAAAAAAAAAAAAAAAAAAACCTAACAATAGCAGACACGTTTTCCTTTTAATGGGTGAGTAGATACGAGGATGAATAACAAGAATGGACAATTTATAAACTACCTACCAAATTTCGTGACAAAATTTTGTTGAAATTGTCTCCCTCATACTATTCTAATATTCTTCCAATTAGCTTCTTCCAAATTTGTAGAATTATTCAACAAAGTTTGGCATCCTCCAATAGAAATGTTCTAGATCAACTTGAATTTCAATTTTGTAGGTTATTATAATTTAGATAATCCCTTCCCTTTTTATTAACAATAAAATTGTCCTAATTTTTTTATAAAAAAAAAAATCATAGTTTAACGATAAATAAAAAATTATAAATATTAAAATTTAAAATTTACTCAATTATCTTTACTTAATTTGATAAATAGTTTTTTATATTTTCTTATATTATTTTAAGCCCTTATTGGTTTGATTAAATATAAATTATACAAGTATAATTTATAATTAATTCACCATGCACTTAAGTAAAATTTAAGTGATTGAAATATAATTAACTCATAATTTGAGGGTTTTTTGTTTTTTCACCACAAAAAGGGTACTATTTATGTGATGGTGAAGATAAGGATTGATAGTAACCAATTACTAAATTTTTAATTTTGTTATAAATGCAGAAAAATAGTACATCAAATTCCAAATTTACTTTTTTTTTTTCTTTTTGTTGCAGTTATTTACAACATTTCCTGTCTTAAAATTTTGCTTCTAAGGTGAAGTTGACAATTTTATTTCCAATTACAAAATCCTCTTTTTCCTTTTTTTTTTTTTTTAACACAATAACCATATATTTGAACTTCCACATTTTATTCAAATATTATTTATTTTCAGCAATGATAATTAAAATTCTCGTATAATTTAAAAAATTATCATGTAATTCTTCTACATTACATTTTGATCTATTACTTTTTTAGTACAATTTTAATTTCCATTCACAAATATAATTTTTCTAATTTATAAGTGGATTCAACATATATAAATGATAATAATGATTATATCAAAACCCAACCCAAAAATTATCTAATTCTCAACAAAAGTGCAACTCTTCCCAAAAGCATAAATAAATAAATTAAATTTTAAATTAAATTTGTGAAATGATGAAACTATCGAGAAGAGGAAACTATAACTACCAAACAGTTAAATCATTGAAAATAAAAATATAATAAATCGAGTTCAAATCAAAATAATAATAAATTTGAGTTTGAGCTCAACTCTATATTTTAGATTCAAAATTTAATTCGAACTCGATTGAGTTTTATTTTTTTAATTCGAGCTCGATTCAAGATAAAAATCGAGTTATTCGAATTCGTTTGATTAAATTCGATTAACATGTAAAAATAAATTTGATTTTTATATTTTATAAAAACTTAATTATTTATACTCAAACTCTAACTCGAAATATTTTTATCAATTAAAATAATTAAAATATATTAAAATATAAAATTTTGATTAAATTCACGAATAACTTGAATCGAGTATAAAACTATTCGAATTTGATTTTATCAATAAATCAAATTATTCAAGTTTAAAATTGATTTGATAATAATTTAATCGATTTTAAATTTTATTCGAATTAAATTTAAATGATTTATGAGTATTAATATATTGTTTAAGTCTTTAATTGTAAGAATTCCCGGTAATCCTTGCGTGTAAAATAACAAAGAAAGCTTCGTTGCCAATAAATCCCTCTTCCCTGCTTTCATTTCTCTCTTTTAATCCATTTTTTTAATAAATTTAATTATATAGTATAATAATAATAAAAATAAAACAAACTTTCAAGTGATAGCTATATATATTATTAATAACTGCTATCAATACCGTATAACCGAATTTAAACCCAAATATAATATCCAAAACCAAAGTGTTTCTCTGTCTTTCTTTCGCAAAACATTTTTGTCGCAGAATCAAGGAGAGCCTTTCTTTGGTTTGGGAGGTTTTAACTTTTTAACCACCCCGAGTTTCTTTCAAAATTATCTCAACAAACTTGTCTTTCCTAAATTTCTGTTTCTGTTTTTCTGATTCATTTCTTCTTTCTTTCTTTTTTTGCAGGGTTTTTGGTTCTTTAAAGTTTCCATTTTTATGCCTTAGATCAGCGTACTTCATTGATTCATTTCGTGTTCCATCTTTTTGGTTTTTGGAAACAGGTTTGGCAATTTGGGTTGGTTTTTTTTTTTTTGTTTTTGGTTTTGCAGAGTTTAATAAAGAGAAATTTTTTTTCTTACGGAATACTATTAAATTGTCTACAGGAAATTAGCGCGGGAAATTGGAGAAATAAGAATTAAATCTTTTTTTAAATGTTGGGTGATTTCATTACCAGATTGCTTGTGTAAGTCATTTAGAAATTCCTTTTTTTTTTATTTTGCATTTAATGTTCTTTGATTTTGAAATTAAAGAATGGTTGCTTTGATTTTTGTGGATTTTGATCTTTATCTATTTTCCGGTGTTTTGTGTTTTCAGGTTGATTCTTGGATATGCATATCCAGCGTTTGAGTGCTTTAAAACGGTGGAGAAGAACAGGGTCGAGATTGGGGAACTCAGATTTTGGTGTCAATATTGGTATCCAAATCCTAGCCTCTCACATTTTCTTGCATATTGCTTTCTAGCCGTAAACATTTCTCATTCTGGACAACTTCGGCCAATTTAATCTCGATATTTTTGGTTTCTTTCTGCTTGTTTGATCATGCTAAGCTTGAAAAACTCAACCTTACAGAGTCTTTCTTAATAAAATACACTCCAAGCTAATTGTTGATTAGCCTTTGATTTGCTACTTCGCTAGAACATGTAGGTTCCTTAATTTATTAGAAACATATCATTTGAGATGAAATTGACACATGGTATTTATGCTTTAATTAGTCCAATGTCAGGATTCTGTTTTTGTTCAACTCAAAAAAGAGGAGAGAGGGCAAAAGCTTATTGTTGCTGTCCTAGATTGATCCCAGGTTTCGGAAGGAGTCATCATTTTGTTGCAAGATAAGAACCCTTAGGCCAAAGGCCATGCTTATGACCTTGAAGAGGATAGACCATAAAAAATTCTTATGAAGAATGTACATGTGAGAAAGCAATATTCTAACTGATCAGAAGGATAATGCCTGAATCGCATTACTTTGATTTATGGATTCATTGAGAGTAGCGGTCACCATCATGTTGAATAGGGATATGGATAACTTGTCTTTATTTATTCTGTTATTAATATAAAAAAAAATACACTTCAACCAATCTTTCATTCCAGCCTGTGCGTCGTTTGTTTAGCTTTCCGTTAAGTTGAAATGAATTCTGCAGGATCCTTGTGGCGTTTCTGACAATTTTTGAGAGGATAGGAGACATATTCATTTCATGGTATACATAGATCTCTAAACTTTCACTGCTTCAATCTATAGTGCTTAGAATCCTAATATTAGATTTTAACTGTCCTGAAGGTTGCCCATGTATGGCGAGCTGAAGCTTACACTCTTAATCTACCTATGGTATCCTAAAACCAAGGTAAAAGCATAACATACAGGGAATACATTTTAGCTTTTCCGCAAACCCTGAACTCAATTGACAATAATAAGCTTTCAATAAGTAGGGAACAGGCTATGTGTACGACACCTTGTTGCGGCCTTACATGGCAAGACATGAAACAGAAGTGGATAGAAAGATACAGGAGCTGAAAGCTAGAGCATGGGACTTTGCTTTGTACTACTGGCAAAATTGCACAGAATTGGGGCAGACAAAATTCTTCGAAATGTTGCAATACTTAGCAGGCCAATCTTCAAGGTTAAAACATGGCAATCAGGTAATCTTCCTTCCATGTTAATCTAATTTCTACCCTTTGTTTAATACTACCTTGAAGTTTAGGCGGTAGCGAGTAGACAGTCAAAATAACCTGAACTGAAGATTGAGAAAAGAAAACAACCCAGCATTGCTTTGACATTAACACACCACATGAAAAATGTTTATCCAACTCTGGTTCATCAATTATGTGATTGATGCTTTCATGTACAAGATGAGCATAACTTGAAACAATTAGGACTAAAATTTCTAATTATCCAATGTTATTTCACCAAACCTTTTGTAGAAATCTGATCAGCAAATTCCAGACATTCCAACACCACCACCTCCAAATGGTTTACGTAGTCAATCAGGGAAAAACAAGAAATGGAATTCAACGACAATCAACCGTTCCGTCGTAGAATCATCCAAGTCGAAACTCGTCCAATTCCAACCTGGCAGCCAATCAGAATACGACCAGAGCGATGACTCCTCCATTCCAGACTACCCAAGTAACTCCAAGCTCCAACAGGATCGTCTCAAGCTTCGCCGTTCCAAAGCACACAACTAACAATTTGTAACAAACAAACAAAAATTGTACCAAAAAAAAAAAAACCCAAAATTCTTTATTGAATACCAACTCTGAAATTCAATTCATTCATTTTTTTTTCTTCGTAATATAAATTATGTTTCTATATAAATTTACGTACAGTTAAAGAGCTTTTTGTATATTCTATCCCTCGTCCTGCCTGTGAAAACTCACCCTTTATCTGTTATCTGGCGAAGTGGATTCCAATGGATCGGAAGATCCAATCAACGAATCGGGTCAGACCCGGAAGGAGTTTGAGGCGAAAGAACCGAACGCAAGAAGAGATGGGGCTGTGAGAAGAGAACCGAAGCCAAAACCGACGGAAAAAGTGAGGCCCAGAGGAGCCAGGGGAGGCCGACATCGGCTGAAGATAAGCCCAAGCGGCCTGTTTTACTAAACGGTTACGGATGGAGATTTCGTACCCGGAATTCGTCGCAGAGCCTGGGGCAGTTGGGGAGTTGATAGCGACGGCAGAAGAAGGGAGGATGTCTTTGAGTGAAGTGTAGGAAGCAAAGGAGGTTTTGAGGGAGCTAAGATCGAGGCCAAGCGGCGGTGAGGAGGCGGTGCCATTTGGGAAGCTGGTGGCGGTTTGGAGAGGTTTTGGAGTTAAGAGAGTTAGCTTTGAGGGGGCTTGGACGGGAGTTGATATGGAGTTGCGGCGGCGGAGAGTTGATAGCGGCGATTGCACTGCTTCGTCGTCCATAGTGAAGAACGGTAACTAAAATTTTGAAAGCGGGTTTTAGTTTTAAAGAGAAGGGAGTCTGAGTCTTCTCTTTTGAGTGAAGTCTCCAGCGGCGGCTGCCAAAACTGGTGGTGGAATGGGATCGGATGGCGTGGAGCGCAACTATTGGAGAATATAAGTTCTGTCCTTATTTTATCTGATGAGTCGTGTGCCCATTTGTTGGTTTCTTTATCTTTTTGTCCAATGGATTGTTTCATATTATTAGTTATAATCTAAAATAGTGTTATCAGGAAAGATGATAATTAGGATTTGATTTGTTTTTTTTTTTTAAATAATATATAAAATTATAAATTTTTAAAATATGATTTAAATTCGAACTAAATTTTAGTATAATCTAATTCATATTTTATATTGAACTCTATAAATTTTGATTTATTAATTTTTTAAATATATTTTTTACTTTTAAATATTATTTTAACATATTTATGTATAAAATAATTATTTTTTTATATAAAAACTTAAAAAATATATAAAAGTAATAAAAAAATATAATTGGATATAATTCGATTTTTTTTATTTTTTACTTTTTGATTTAAAATTTGATTCAAATTTAATAAATACTTCAATATTTAAACTTAATCTAAACTGAATAATAATATTAATTTAAATTGAATATTATAATTTTAAATTAATTTTAATTTTTTTATTTCTTTCATTTTGAATACTACTATTATTTTATATATGACAAAATTTATTTTAAAATAATTGATTTTATAAAATAAAACTTGTGCACAGTTTAAATCAAATTACTATTAATACATATAATTTATGGCATATTTATATTGGAGAACTTAAAAAATACTATTAAGTACAATAAATTTTATGAAAAAAATTTTTTTTCATTATTTGATATTGATATTTTTCTTTTGATACAATTTCAATATTCACCTTGAACTTTAATTTTGAGAAATTAAAAAAAAAAAAAAAAGAAAACAAACAAACAAACCCAACCAACATCACTAAATTCAATCAAGCCATATCGTAGTATAAGTCTTGCAATTCATTATCTTAGACTAAACGTGTATAAATTAAATTTGATAATTCGAATCCATTTTTTTACTTCATGTTAAACATTATTAGTGTTAGATAAGTAAACAGATTAGATTTTCATTTTTTAATTATTAATACATTAATTACCATCACTCATATAAATACAATTTAAATTATTAACTAGATATAGGTCCCATTTCGTTGTAAGTATATAATAAAGTTATATATTGGTTTAGACAATAAATAATAAAAAATATAAAAAAAAGAACAATATACAATTTTATTAAAAATATTTAGATATTTTTTAAAAATATATATTTAAATATTTACATTAATTGATTTGATAGCGATGAGATATCAAATTAATTTATTGAAAAGTATTTTATTTGTTATCATGATTAGATAACAAAAATAATTAAAGTTACTGTACAATCTGAGTATGATATTTCAAAAAAAGTTATATGAAAGTGTAAAGTTGAATAAATTTGTAATGTGTTAAGCTTCCAAACTTCTTAAAGTTATGGATTTAAATGAATTTATATGCATAATATTATTTTTAAATAAATTAAATAAATAGAGTCCAAAGGTAAAATAATTTTTTTTTTAAATCTTTTATCTCATCCCCAATTTAATCACTAATGTCATTTATAACTATATGAAAACCTTAATTGCAAAAAAAAAAAAAAAAAAAAACCTTAACTCAATATCTAATGAATTAATAAGTCCATGTAGTATTGTTTAAATAAATTGACATTTTTAATAAAATATTTACAATATGAAAAACAAAGAAATTAGAATTCTCTAATTATCTTGTCCTATTTGAAAATATCAAATACTATAATCAACTAATTTGGTGATATGTACCTGGATGGTATTGTTGTTATGATGATTGTAATTAAAAAAAAAGAAAGAAAGAAATTATTTATATATTAATATTTAATTATAGTCAAAATTTCAGTTTGTACAAGAGATTATCACGCTTAATCAAACATATGATGTGTCTAAAAATGATCAATTAAAACATGACATGTCTTACAATTTTATTACTTAATTTGATTAATAGTATTGGTTTTAAGTGTAAATTGGTGGACAAAAATCAAATTCAAATATTAAATTATGAATTTTTAAAATTTAATAACTAATAAAAATTTTAATTATAATTTGGATATTAAATACATAATTAATCTTTTTTGAAATAAAAACTAAAGCAAAAAAAAAAAGGACGATGGAAATAAATGTTAAAAGACATAATTAACCTTAAAATTAGTAGTTGAAAATCTAAAACAACTTCAAAAAATCACTCAAACTCAAAAAATTACATGCTAAAAGACAAGACAAACCCCCAAACAAAATTATTCATGACATCAATTAATCCCCGAATCATATTTTATGCCTCATATTACTTGATATAGATATTGATATATCAATTTAATAAGAACGAGTTAGGGATAACTTTTATATATCGATAATCATAGTTTTAATTTTTAAGCACTTACATGAGTAGTGATTACTAATATTTTGAAAATATTAATTGAAAAAGTAATAAAGTGAAATCAATCATAAATATAAAATTATCGATAAAATATTGAATTTTTAATTATTATGATCAAGGTTTAAATTATAATAATTTCAAATATATAAAAAAAATATTGTAAATTTTAAAATACGTTAAGGATGAATAAAATTGAGAATGCAGCAAAATGTATGCATCTAATAGAATTATAAAAACATTAATGCATCTTTGGCAAAGTGGACGTTGGAAAACATATGCTTGTTTATAATATAAGAAACATGAAGCAGTTTCCCATAGCTCTTCCTTCACCAGGGAAGTATAAAAGGAAGTTTTTTTTTTTTTTTTTTTGTAATTTTATTATTTTGTTACTAAGATCAATAGTTAATGTTTCCTCCTCTTTGAATTTTTAATTTTTGTTATTTACTACATAAATACTCCCAATAACTTGGAGGCTTGTGAGAAATGATCAAAGCACTGTAATTAAATATAGTTTCATATGTGCACCTAATAATAATGTTTTTAATATAAAGTCTGAGATCTCATAATTCTCAACTAATTTTATTAGAGTCCCATTACTTTGGTCTTTAAATTGTTATCACTAAGATTTGACCAAATGGCAGTATTATTTTTAATATTCAAAGTTATTAGGATTTGAATCTTCGTAATAGAAATTAAGATTTCAGACACTATCAATAGTCTATTGACAGGATTATTATATAATGGCATTTGCTGTGATTTTTGATAGTTTATAATTGTATCTTTCCTTTGTTTTTAATTTGAATAAGGTGGCCAGCTGCCAAAATTTGCCAATTAAAGTCAAACGAGAAGGAAGCATGTAGGAAGGGAGAGAGTGGAACCCCATAGCCCCATCCTTTTCGAGTCATTGGGTTGGTTTTTTTTTTGACAAATCAAAGAAAAAAAGAGACAAAAGAAAAACCTTATCTTATAACATTTGATCATTTGCGTTGTTGTAACAAATTGGTCGAAGATTTGCTATTTTCTGCTAAAAAGAAATGGCAGCCAATCAACTTTTCTTGGCTAATGCTTCTTAAAAAAGAGAGTTTTGAGGACCATGCATTACTGGGAATCTGATGTGGAGAAAGTGATGGTTACATGGAGCTGAGCTATGCACCAAATGACAACTTCTGGAATATCCTCCCGGAAGACGTCTCATCTCTCAACTTGAAATATCCATGTTTTTAGAACATGTGTTAAATAGTATGAATTTGACAATGAAAGGACAACATAATCAAATAATAGTAGTATATAGTAACAAATAGTAAATTTTTTTAAAAATTAATGTTTTGTATTTGAACCTTTTTTTTTTTTAAATTCCCTAACATTATTTGTTCAAATTGTTTGAATTTAATTAAGATAAAATTCTAATGATTTTTTTTATTTTCCAGTCAAGTTTAAATTCAAATTATTTGAGTAATAAATCAAGTCAAATTTAAATAATTTAATATTTGATCCAAAAGAATTATGAATTTAATTGAACTTTTATTTTTATTGTATTTAATATATGTATATATATATGTATATTAAGTATATAACAAAAATTTTATATTTGATATTAATATTTATAATTTTATCAAATCTAATTGAGTTTATCAAACCAAATTTGGGTTCGAAAATCAAATTTAAATATTGAAACTCAAATCGTGTCTCAAGTTTTCAAATCAAACTGAACTCGAATTCAGTTATATCCTACCCCAAAAGGAATAGGAAATTTGGGCTAAGTACTCTGTAGAAGAAAGATGTTTTGGGAGATGACAATTGCCAGCTTTGGCCTTTTGGATCCAGTCATAACATATGGAAGTAAGAAAGTTTCAACGACAACAACATTAATTTGTCTTCACAATTTTTTCAATATGGTCCTTTTCTGATTACTTTTGTCAAACTCAGAGTCTGCATCCTCTCGTGAAAATGATTTCTCAACCGTGATTGGACATATCCAAATTCATGCCAAGAGATCAAGACAAAAACAAATTTGCTGCAATGAAAACGTTGACGACCTAGCTCAAGGTCCCTTAGCAATCAAATTGTTGTTGCTTTTGCAGTTTGTGTGGCCCCTCTTCTTGGGATTTCCATTTCGTTTGTGGCCTTGGGTTGAGTTGATCCTTAACCCTCTTTGTAACAAATTGCCACAGAGAATCCGAGGTACAGAGCATAACTGGTTTGTATAAACCATTTTTAGCAATACTGATGTGAAGGTTGAAAATACGGGTGAAAAAGAAAAACCATGGATTGAAATGAAAATAGTATAGAGAGGAACTTTTAAAACTCACCAAACTTGGAAAACTCCACTATGAATGTTCACCCAATAGCAGAAATTCAACTACAAAGTGATGAAGTTCAGGAAAGTAAGTAATGTGGTTTAAAAATCACTGCGTTGCTATAGTCATGATGATATACAAATGGTTATAATCTGTGTATACAATTGATTGCTATCCTACAAGCAGATCAATTCTCAGCCAGTATGCTGCTTTGATATCATTGATACCAATGATTATCATTTCAATGCACCAATTTTACACATTTACATTTGGTATGGCTGCTTTGATATTTCAACCAGACTAATGAGGCAATTCAGATCAACAAAGGGATGTTAATGGGCAATGTCAACCATGTGTTTGCTCCAGTGTTGTCCATTGCATTTATTCCATCTTCAACACCCATCTATCCAGATTTCCAACGGACAACACTTTTATTTGTGCAACAAAACCATGGGTTAGGAAAATTGCTAAACCGTGCAGTAAATTGCAATAACCCCAGACTTACCATCCACATCTTTATCCAGTGATCCATGTAAATTAAAGACAGGAGTGCTGGCATTATTTTCGGTACTTAGACAGGAAAATCATTTTTTACCTTTTAGTAGAGTTAAAATCAGAAGATGGCACTTCGGTCATCCTAGATGGTGGAGTTTGTGGCCTTGGGGTACGGACATCAGCCATTCCAAAGTCAGTATGAAGCATATCTACTCCACTCCATTCAACACCTGCTATTCTTGTAAGTTAAGGATTATGCATTCACCTTTTGTAACTATGAGTGATATTGGATAGAAAAGAAAATGAGTTTGTGCATGTGCTTTTTCCCAACTTTGGGGGTAGAGCATATTGAAAAGCTAAAATTTCTAGAAGGATACAGTCTGTTTTCCACATATCTGTAATGCTAACATCAGCATCTGATAAAAGCCAATAATCTGCATCATTCTGAAGACAAGAAATTGTCAATTTACACATTGAACCAGAAAACAATGGACCAGAGCAAACATTATTAGTTTCATTTTTTCATTTTTGGTGCATGATGAAGTTTTAGGGGGAAAAAGGAATTTGAATCTTGTGCCTTACCCTCCTAAAGTGCGGTAAGAACCAAGGCTCCAGATGAACTATTAATTCCATACCACCTAAAGTTATAAATAACCTTTTCCATGCACCACTTTTCATATAGTGATTCTTTATAAAGCTTGGCTAGAGTAAAAAATGGTCAAGAACTGTGGCACTTACATCAATATCCGAAGGAACAATTCTCATCATTCCCCCAACAGACTCCTGTGAAGCATTAATATCAGAGCCCATTTGATGAGTTTGTTGTGCCTGTGGTTCTATCTCCTTTCTGGTGTCCACATTGACCAATTCAACTTGGTTTTCATTAGAACCAGAGCTTGAAGCAAGTGGGACACTCACAGGTGGCTCAACACCATTCATCTCTTCAAACTTCTCAAATTGGCTGATGAAACAACAATTTGAAAAGAAGGACAAAAGAGAAGGGTATTAAAACAAGAACCACTATTATCCATCATCAATTAGATATAATTTCAAAAGAAGGATGGTTCATAAACATTTATAGGTAAATAGTTTAGCATATTAAAGAAAGGAGCAATACCTGACTAGGTAAACATCAATGGGACCCATTGTGCTCCTAAGAATTATCCTGTATCTCCTTTGTGAGCAGTCAACAGCCTGGAATGTACAGTAGCAATGCCATTATGCATTCAAAACATGAAAGAAGAATATGGTCCTAACTCATTAGAATTCTCCAGCCATCAACTTACTTCATCAGGATCAGGTACTTCCAGAGTTGTTCCATGTGGAGCTTTAATTGCTATCAGAGTTTCATTCTGCCAAAAGCAACATGGACAACTTAGCTATAGTAAAACCAAGATGGCCTGGAGATCAGTGTCAAATGTAGAAAATAATTGCAAAAGTATTAATTTAGTGAAACAAGGAATAAACAGACCTGAAAACAAGGTAGACCCTTGATGTCATCTTCAGTCACAAAAAGCCACCTGAAACAGTTTGAAGATGGGTAAATGTACCATTTTTTGCAAACAATCAGCAGTTAGCTGCAATTACAAGGCAGAGGAGAAAATCTTACCTCTGATTGTTCCCATTCTCACTCAAATCCCTCAATCTTTCCTGCATTTCTCTGCAATATTTTAGAAGTATCAACATTGCTAAACAGGTTTGAGACAGTAATAGTAACTACTCTAACAAGAGAATAAGGCATATACTACCTTATTTGATCATCTAATCTGTGCTCTTCCATGGACAGGTTTTCAATTTCTCCCTGCATACAGAAGAGAAATTAAGATCATATGTTTAGGAAATAAACAGCACAGATTAGTCAACCAGCAGTGATCAAACATTCTCTTGAAATCATAAACCAACATAAGAAATGGAGAAACATTCTAATGCACAATATCAGGAAAAATTGTTGCCTGGATGTCAAAGAAAAACAAAACTGTTATTATTTTCACATACCTGTAATACAGAGACATCACCATCTGCTTCTCCTGGTCTTGAAGCATCAACACCCCTAGTAAATTGGATTAATCCTCAAATAAGTCCCATGTTATTTGAAGGTTAACCAGAATGACAAACCAAATAAAGACATCAAATTCTGGAAAAACGTTTAACAACATCAATAATTACTTCCAATGTATTCTGTTTTTGAGCTTCTTTTCAATGAGACCAATGCCTTCCAAGACATTTGTTATGTCATATATCCTCCTCTTTTGCACCTGTTACAACATTTAGAGGGGAAAAAAAAGACAAATAAAAGAACCCTTTAAGTAACATGACAAGACACCCAATAGTACATAAGCTCAGTTGACTGCATAGTATTACCTCCAATGTTTCTGCAGCCTTATTTAGGTCGAGGATACCATCTTCAGAATGCTTTATCAGATTGATGAATTTTTTCGTCAATAGACCTAAAAACTTTGACCTCATTATTACCATTACCACGTATAAAAGCTTTAGGAGCTAGCAAAACAACTGTTGTTAAAAAAAAAAAAAAGAACAGTAGTAGGATTACCTAAAGAACTGTCATAGCGGCAGCTGCCGGCAGGAGTAAGAGGAGACAGTAAACCTGCCAATTACCATATAAAATGTCAGTGGTTCTTCTCCATATTCTATATCTTTTTCATAAGACATTACAGAACCAATAGTACAGCATTCAAACTCATGTACACAGCTGTGGAGTGAAACATAAGTTTCCTTCTATGGACTAAGCTTGTAGCAGACAAAGTTTCTCACCAGCATTTGACACTGATGTTTGAGGAATAGATTTATTGGCCTTTGAGGCCTTTGATCTATTATTTATCCTTCCTCCTTTAGCTGATACAGGTGTCTGGAAGGGTTTGTTGGATATGCTGGTAACTCCTGGACTGCCGGTCAATTGGCCAGACTCAACTTCATAGCTGTCCATTGCTTTCTTCCTTTTTAATTGCTGAGAAAAACTAGCAGTATTTCAAAGTGGTGCTAATGGCAGGCAGAATTACGAGTTCAAATCAGAACTTGTGTATGGTTATATTTACATTAGCATCCAATTGAATTGGAAAAAAAAGAGCATAAATCTAACAAATTCAAGTATAGGACAGCATGTATAGGAAAACATACTGTTAGCCGTAAGAACCTTCAGAATTACTTGACTACTTGATTCAAAGGGTTTTTGCAAAGGCCAAAACTCATAGAGATCAATGTCATGAAAAAATCAAGTATGTAAGAACACTAGGGATTCACTTGTTATTAGATAGAGGACACTAGGAAAAAGGAATGTCATGTATGAAAACAGGTTAAAGTGACAGACTAGTAGTCATATTGTACAGAAGGGGGAAACTGCACAGTCAAAGTCATCACTATATCAACAGAATCATTTATCAAACATCCGTCAAAGCAGCAACATCCAAAGAATTAACAGACTTCAAGCTTTCTTCATATAGGGCATGGCATCCATGTTCTGCTTTAAACCACAAATGCAGCACAAGCATCAGCTTCCTCCCTGAGCATAGCAAGTTCATTACATGATAATAGCATACTATCAATTGCAATTATGTTTGAAGTCGACAAAAATCAATACCAAAACCCAATGGTAGGTATTCATTCATCAGCATGTCTGACAATGATATCACTAAAACCTAGCCTTCTCAAATTAAGGCAATAAAATGTATAAGCCATCAAGTTTCAGCCATTGGATGAGATCAGCATTCATTAAATTTCAACTTAGTTCAGCAAAGGAACACTTTACTCCACCCAAAGCCCATTATATCATCAAATTCATCACCAAAAAGGCAGATGTCCTGCCAGAAGTACACATATTCAAATAAAGGTATAACAATTTCACTGCAAAAGCAAATAATGCTACTGATAATTCAAATTCACCTAAGTAAACAAGCAACCACGAAAAGTTCTCATATGAACAGATAAAAAAAATCCACAAGATTAAGCACATCAAAACGAATAGATTATTTATTATCATAAAAAAATTGAAACGGAAAAAAATCTAACGATAAATGTTAAGTAAGACTATAATTATCATAAAATAAAAAATATGTTGACTAATTACGCCATAACCACCAATTTTTTTAATGTAAATATATTTTAAAAGTAGAAAAATTACAAAAACTCACTGGAGATCTCACAACAATCGCTTCAACTTCATGATCGGCGATTATTCCATGTGCATTATTAGAGGTGGTTAAATTATTGTTACTATTATGAGAAGAAAATCTGTGATAATCGTCGGTGGGATGAATAAAAGGCGGCTTCGTCGAGGCGAAGGTCAGATGGCGACGTATCGGCGGAACAACCGACGGGCCCGACGATGCTGGTGCTGAGGCGGAAGACGGAGAAGGAGGAGGAAACGGCGGCGTGGGACGAGCGGAGGCTCGAGCGCGGCCGGACATCGAAGTTTATGATTCGGAGGGAGAGTGAGAGGGAATCGGAGAGAGAGGCGAGGGTAGAAATGGAATTGGAAAAAGAGGAAGAAAGAGAAAGTGAGGGCTAGAGAGAGAAAGAGAGAAGAGGAAAGTTGTGAAGGGAAGGGAGGGAATTTTTGGTTCGGATAGATGTGGAGGGAAGAATTTTGTTGAAAATTACAATTAATGTGTCTAAGTTTTTGGTTTTTCCTTGTTTTAGACTCCTAGCTTTTTCATTTTTCAATTTTGTCCCAGAATAAGATAGGAAATTAGGATTCTATTCAATTGAGATTTAAGAAATGAAGATGCAATAACTTTCATAAATATACTGAAAATGTCAAATGCAAAAGGATAAAGAGAAAACATTTTTTTTTTCAATTTTTAAGTTTCAAAAAAATGAATTTATCGACTTGAATTTATGCAACTACAACATAAACACTTATATTAATTTGATAATTTTTTACTTCATTCTCCAATGGCTTTATTAAAATTTTCATAAACTTTATACCAAGAGAGAAAGATTATTTTGAGTTTTAACTCATAGTTAGAGAAGTACTAATACAAAGTATTTTTTTTAAGATAATGTTTTTAATAATATTTTGTTAGTGCAAAACTTCATTAGGGATCTTCAAACATAAAAAATTACGACTACTCTCTACCTTCATTTTACCTTATCGTCTTTTATCAATCTAATACCATAATTAATAAGAAATTTTATAATTAGATGAAAGAACTTAATTTAACAAGTGAAATTAATTAGTAGTAAATCGTTGCACATATAATATATATTTTAAATAAAATTTTAATATAAAAAAAAGTATTGAAACAAAAAAAAAATAATATTACCGTGAAAGTGATCTAGTGTCTCCTTTACAAAAAATCTAAAAACAATCCTCCATCATATATAATTTTATTTCGAAATTTTTGAAATTCTAAATCAATATATTTTACGTGTACTTTTTTTAATTTTTGTCTCTTAATTAAAATATTTTTTTAATTAAAAGATATACTCTTTCTTAATTCCCTTCATGTCTCCCTTCAATTGAAAACGGAATTATGAAGGTAAGCTAGGAGCATAGATTAGGAAAACAAATTGAAGTAGAAAAATCTTAAAAAGAAAATAAAATTAAAAAAAAATAGTAAGAAATTTGCTAATATAGAAAAAGAGTTGAGGTTTTTCCGCAAAAGGATAACAAAAAGGGAAGGATAAAATGCTAAAAGCCAAAAACAGAAATTACAAAAAGAGATGATGTACTACGCGCCTTTCTTTGTCATTTGTTCTTCTTCATCGCTTTCCTTAACCCCATCATCAAAACCCTAGAACTTGAAGCACCCAAAAGCACTATCATGATTCTTGACAAATGGCAAAATCCCAACCATCCTTTTTTTTTAATAAAAAATACATGTATTTTGAATGGGGGTGTATCCATATTTTTCTCTTCATAAATCATATATTCTATTTTTTATGATTCCAATTCGAGATATTTAAATTAAAATCTCAAATAATAATTAGCGCATGTGAAAGGTAATGATTTTGTTGGGAAAACTAAAAGTCTAAATCATATCAACCGTTAAATATAAATTTTATTTTAATTGATTCACATAATTATTTTTAAAAAATAATATATAATAAATTTTTATTTTAATTTTTATTCAGATTATGAATTTTTATAAAAAAAATTTAATCGATCATATTTTGAACTTAAACTCTTGTTCCAATTTTGACCATATGGGATACGACGTCGTCTATTTCACACCACAAGAAAATGAAAAAAAAGTTACTTGTGTATTGTAATTTTACCCGTCATGAAAATTGCAATGAAAATATAATTATACACTAATCAATGCAATCCGCGTCATTTTTTTTTTTTGCTAAAACATTATATGCATCATCAAATTTATTGTTTGAACATTGATTTTTGAGTTTCAATCTTTCAGATTTAATTATAAATAATATTTTTAATGGTACATATATCATTTTTTTTATTTTGTCATGTTCTTATAATTTTTGCTATATTAATATCGTTAATTCGTTAATTATTAGATATATATGCCATTTTTTATTTGATCAAATCTCAAAACTAAAATTTAGATTTATTAGCTCATTTCACATGTTTAACTTGGCCGATCATTATTAGAATTTAAATTTTGATAATCAAAATTAAAATTTAATTTTTTATTAATAAATTATAAAATTATTGATAATTGAAATATATATAAAAACGAGCACACATAATTTTTTTTATTCTTAATTTCTTAACTTTTATTTACGTAACTCATTTGAAGAATGCTATTATGAGATTAAATTTTTTCAAACCCACACTTTCAAGAGTCTAATTAGCATGTATGTCATCTTAATTGTGTAAACAGAAGTTTTTGGGCTGGCAATCAAGTTAAGCCCATTAATTAAGCCCAGTAAAAGTTATGCATATAATTATATAATTGTTGTGTCAATTTAATTCTATCACATTCATCCTTGCAATTTTTTATTTTTTGGATTAGACTGACTTCTTCTAATTTTCAAGTTCTAATAAAGGCTAAAAGTTGAGACCAATTTGTAATAATTTTGCCCAAACCCAAAGCCATCCGTTAATTGCTCATCCCAAACCATTTCCAATATATATAAAAAAGGTCAATACCCTTTCCTTAATTTCTTGCCATTGAAGATTAACAAAGGGGGATCCAGGGAGGAAGGATTGCTGAAGGAAGAACAACAAATGGGGTTGCTAACCCAAAGGTACATATGCTGAGGAGATTCTTCTTTTTCTTTCATATATAATTATAATTACCATTGAATGATTAGTGTATTGAAATAATGCAGAATCAATAAGGAGAGTCTCAAACCAGGTGATCATATTTACTGTTGGAGGGTTGGTTTTGTCTATGCTGATCATGGTATGGGTTTTTTTTTTTTTTTTTGCTCATTACCCACTTTTTTTGTTACCAGCTAATTGGATCCCAGCCTTTTTCTTTATAATGTTTATTCACTTTTAGCATTCTGGAATTAATAGATTCTTTTGTTTCAAAAGAAAAAGGAAAATGTGGGTTCAAGGAAAAATGTTTGGTCTTAAGATTCATCCATATCTTAGAGTCATAGGTGTTATAATGATCAGCAATGGGTATATAATTCTGAAATTGTTGAACCAGGATTTGGTTGCAACAACCCAACGCATTGCTACCTTCACCAGAAGCCCGGAGCTCCTTTTTTTTTGGTGATTGCAACATAAAACTTGGATCCATGTCATTTTATCAAGTGGATCAGTTTTATGGCTTATTTCCCTTGCCACCCTCAACCTTGTGACTTTTATTGCTGTTCCAGCTTGTTGAACTTTTGATTCTATAGAAAAGTTGGCTAGTCTTAGTTATTTGATCTTGTTTCTATGTGCAAATGAATAAGCAGGCATCTATATAGGAGATGACAAAGTCATTGATTTATTGAGATGCTGTTCAGAAGGAAGAGGAACATTGCCGAATCTTCTTCCCTTGAAGAAATCAAGGCTAGCACAATCTCAGCATTCCCGCCCTTCCTGCACTCAAACAAAAAGTGACGGGATCATCTGCTCATGCCTCAACTGCTTCATAGTTGGTGGAGTCGTGCACCGGTATGAATATGGTGTTAATGCTGCTGCCTTTATTGTGAAAGTACGCAGTGGAACATGTACACGGGCAGTCTCAGACTCTGCTGATGTAGTTGTTCATCGAGCAAAGTACTTGCTTGAACATGCAACCGCTAGCTATAAACTATTCATGAACAACAGTGAACAATTTGCCATCTATTGTAAAACTGGGGTGGCCGTTGTAGGCTATGGAACACCAGTGCTAAAAGGCCAAGCTGCGTCTATACCGAGTTTATTAATAGCTGCTTGGTTGTCTGCACCTTTACGTTCAAGCAAAGCCAATGAACTTTGTATTGCTGCAACATTATTTGGACTCTATAGCAGTCTCAGATTTATTTTAGACATCAGGGGTAATCAGGACAAACTGAAGGTGGTTGTGGAGGATATGGTAGGTAACTAGAGAAATCTCAAGTGGAGGTTGGTGCTGCAATAGTGAAAGATCTCACAAATGACAATGAAGCTCGGGACCAGGCTTTGCTCCAGGGCATTAAACCGGGTTATGGTTTGAAACTTTGTTTCCTATGATACTTTCAGATGGTATTACTCAGTTGCTATATGGTAATTAATTGTTTTCTTTTATCCATCACTGTACATTGTTTTATGTTTTTTGTATATTTTTTGGTTGAATCTTCAATAACTTGGCAATTTGGCTTTACAAAAGATGCTTCTTTGAGTTCCTTAAATATGGCGTGAACTTCCAGTCTTCATCTGATTTCTTGAGGTCAGAATGTTGGATGGATCTTGTGTAAATGTCAGAGCAGTGAGGAAGTGGGGTAAAGAAACCTTCTTTTTCAACTACTGTGACATGGATGGAAAAGAATACTGGATTGTTTAGAATGAACAAAACAGCATATAAAGGTTCTTAAAGTAGGAAAACTGAAAAGCTCAACAAAAATATCAATATTCTTAATGCTGGTGGGTCTGGTAAGAAAGCAGGCAGGGGAGGCTATTGTAGCTTTGGCTATTGCTGGTCTTCCTGTCATTGCAATGTTATATGAGCTTGAAGTTATGAGAATGGTCTTACCATTGCCAGAAACTAGGGGATTAAGCTATTTTTGGTGGCTACTTATTCACCAATGCTAAAACATTTTCTCGAAGTACAATGCATTGTTAATTGAAGCTTCCATGACGATTGAAGCAATTCCTTGAAGCAATTAAAGATGTCGAATTTATTGCATGGTTAATTTAATAGGGTGCAAAGTATTGCAAAAGTTTGTTCAAACTAGTGGTAGTAGAAATGACATTGTTAAAGCTTCACATCCAGCCCTTTTTCAAACCTTATTGGCTTTAAGACTTATGGTAAAACCATTTTATATTCTTCCAAGTGCCCAGGAGTCTCTGGCCTGAGAACAAGGTGTATTAATGGATTATCCCCTTGAAGATGGCCGGAGAATAAGTACAGGTGAGCAATCCAATGAGGCCACAACTAAGGTTTGCTTTAAGGGATTAAGTTAAACCCCAAGGTTTTCTTTTATAATTTCACTCACTTTCTCATCCTACTTAATACCAAGAATCAGATAGAGGTCCCTCAACTAGAACTTCAAGGACCATACGTTGGTCTAAGCTCTCAAAATTCAAATTCAACTAATTAACACAGCTGTAAACAGTATAAACTATCTTAATTTCATAGATATGCAGAGACAGGTGAAAACAAAAGTTGTTTGCTGAGGCAGAGTTTCAACTTAGTGATTCTTGAACTATATGTATAGAATGCCTTGGTAATTATCATGCCAAAACCTAGGCTTGCCATCATAACTGACTTACAATTCAGCAGGGATACAACTTGACTTCAGGAAACACAAAGAACTTAAACCATTTGAAAAAGAGAAAGAATGTAAGGACCTTTGGTAATCCAGACTTGCATTTGCTTCAGCAAGTCATAGCTTAAAGGAGTCATCTCTTTGGCCAATCAACGCCGGCAGAACATACAGATTACAGAGAACAAGTTACCAGTAAACGTTTATAAAAGACTGGACACAAGACAGAATACAGAAGAAACTAAACTCTCAATGAAAAGCTTCAACCAAAACTAGCATTACCCTAAGTTCCATAAATTTCAAAAAACTAAGATAACAACTATCCAATAGTGTCCTCTATTCAACAATTTAGATACTCATGATCTATTCAGAAACTATCATCATCAATGATTTTCTACCAAATTTGAATTTTTCTAGAGCTATTCATCTTCATATCAATCTACTTAAACTGAAGCACAAAAAATGGAGCCACATAAAAATTTGAAGGTAACCCATTTTAATTTTAGATTCCAATCACCAAATTTTCACATGATAGTAAAAAGAAAAACAATAAAAACCCAAATCTTAACTAAGTGGGATCATGCAATTATCAAGCTGACATCCAATAAGTTAGGATTCAAATCACATCACCTCACCTATCCCAAGGTATGGTCTCCTTTGAAAAAAAGATAAAAACGAAAAACCAGTAAACAAAATCAATTCATTTCTTTTAACTGTATATCGAATTCAATTATTATTAAATATCACAATTATTTGTACACCACAAAGGAGAACCCTTAAACGGCAACGAAGAATCACAACAAACCTCCAATCTATTATGGAACTCAACTTCAGTCGTCTTTAACAAAAGATGCAAAGGAAAACAAACCCCTTTTTCAACACAACATTGGTGCCTTGGCTTTATCCTATTTTCCAAGCTAAACGAAAAATACTGAGGAAACTCTTTAATTTCTCTCAAATCTCTCCCCATTTCCACCACGAAATAGTTCAATTTCGGCTCGTAATTTTCCTTAACACTGTAATTGAACAGCTGAGGAAATCTACGGAACATCGAAATCGTTTGTCTGTAACAGAATCCGATTTTTTGGAAGTATTCCATACGAGGGATCAGTTTATTTTCCACGCTGCAAGAAAGTAAGGAAGTGTGTTTTTTTACCTCGCAGATTCCGATGTTTTGGAGGAAATAGAGGGTGGGACGCAGTTGGGTTTCCACATTGCATGTGAGTAATCTGGGCCGCCGGTTGATTACTTTCTTTAAATCAGATCCGTTGACGCGGGCTTCACGGAGAAGGAAAGTGAAGACTGTGAGGAGGGAAGTTGGTTTGGTGGTTAGGATTTGGGGGCACATGGAAAGGATTCGACGTTGCTCGAGTGTAGAGAAGTTCCTGGAGGCGAGGAAGTCAACGGTTGATTTTAGATCATGGAGAGAGGCAGTTATGATCGGAGGGTGGTGTTGGAGTAGGGAGAAAAAATCAAGGCCGATGGAGTCAAGGTAAAGCATCTTTTCTTGGAAGTCGGAGTGGGAGTTTAGTGGTGGTAGTGGTGGGGAAATGGAAGGGACTTCAGGGATTTTGGGATGCGGTTTGGGAGGGAGAGGGGTGGTGGTGGTAATTGTTTTGGAAGAAAAAGTTGGGAAATGGAGCTTTCTAGGGCGAGAAAGTGAGGAAAAATCATTGTGTTTATGGTGGGAGGGAAATAAGGGAGGAAAAGGTTTGTTCTTGGGAAGGAAAGGGAGTGTGTCTTGCATGGTGTGGTGTCTACATTCTCGGGCGTTGTGAGTTGCGGTTCTTTTTCTGGTTACGGAAGAACAAAACCATGGTTGGGGGAAAGAGACAGAACGACAGAGATGAGTAATAGGATAAGGCTCCAAAAATTTTTTGACTCGAAGATTCTCACCCACATTGCTATCTGAAATCTAAACAGGGTTCATCAAGTTGGACAAAAATGGGTAAAAATGTTTCTTTTGCCTACGAGGGTGATGAATTGGAAATGAACTTGGCCCAAATCTTATTGTGTTGGACTTACATTTTGCGAGGGCTTATAAATGTACTAGACAAACTGGGCCTCATCGAAACAATAAAAAAATTTATTATGATTGCAACTGGACATCTCCATCACTTAAAAAAAAATTAAAATCTTTAGTTTGGAGTTCCATTTTTTAGAAAATGAGGTAAATTTTATAAAAAAAAATAATTAGTTTTTATTAAAGGTGCATTACACGTGAATGAATATGTTAATTTACCATAAATAATTAAAATTTAATTAATAAACTTGAAGACCATAGATAATAGACCTTATAATTTATAAATTTAAATAAAATTAAAGTCTAATTTCAATATTTATAATCTTTATAATCTTTTTCGATTCTCTTCAGATATCGATCACCTTTATATCAATAAAAATGTTGAACATTGTAAAAAAAAAAAAAAAAAACAAGAACATATATTTTGACATACATCATTTTCATTGACCAACAATTGCTAAATTAGTTTCATATTTTTAAAAATAATGATATAACCAAATTCGATTGTTCATTAAGACACAATTAATTAGTTATTAATTAATTTGAAATTTGAAATCTAATTTTCTATTAATTTAGAATCACATTTAAGCTACAATGCAGTTAAGAAATAAGAAAGAAGGAAATATGTGGAGATGACGTTCACTTCATTTCACCTAGAACTCCGCTTGCCTAAAATGTGTAGAGCCGGTAACCCAGTATAAAACCTCACCAAACCCAAACCCACACTGTCCACTTATTCTCTGACTCTTACCCGATAGCTGAAGCATCATTTTTCCTCCGCCTTATACTCTTCCAGAGTCCAGAGCTAGCGAGAGGGATGGCTTGCTCCGCTACTTCAACCACCGCGGCTCTCGTCTCCTCAAATCCTAGGGCTTTCTCCCCCAAATCCAACCGCATTTCTCAATCGCTTCCTCTCCCCAATTCTTTCACCGGTCTCCGTGCCCCTCTCCTTTCTCGTGTCGCCCGCTCCGTTTCCCTCTCCCACAACTCCCATTCTCGGAAGAGCTTCGTTGTCAAAGCCAGCGTATGATATGGCTTATAATTATCTTCTTCATTTCCATTGTTTATCTGAGTTTCTTTTGTAAATTTTTTCTAGTAAGTTTTAAAATGATGGTAGCTTTTTGGTTAAATTTGGAGACGATAAACTGCAATGTGATGTTTAAATAATTTAATTGGTTATTTTATTGATTCAAACAATTAAAAAGCAGTATTTATTTATGATTATTCCAGGGTTTAGTAGATTACTGAAAATTTATTCATGTTAAAAATGAATTTGATTAGAATGAGTTAAAAATGTGAAATTTAGAACCGGTTTCGATTTCAAAGTAAGATGGAAAATTTTTTATTATAATGAGTGTAGCCAGTAAGGGAATTAGTGCTAAAGGTGTGGATCTCTTCCTCTGTTGAAAAAGCAAAATAGCAAGCTAAAACTAGCTCCATTGATAAATTTTGTTGGGAACCAAATGAAAGTGGAGATATATATTATTTGAGAGTGAAGTTTTAAATGAATTAGTATGTTTAAAATCAATAATTTCGTTGATTCAGAAAAGGAGAGCATCAAATTGGAAATGTTTAGTGATTTTCAAAAAAAGGTCATGGAATTTGCTTATTCTATACACAAATTGTCTATGTTTTGATGGCACGGTTAGGCTTATCTTCTGTTTCTGTATCTACATAATTTCTCTTATACAATTGGGTTTCTTAATTTTGTCATGTTCTTGCAGAGTGAGCTTCCTCTGGTGGGAAATACTGCTCCAGATTTTGAGGCAGAGGCTGTCTTTGATCAGGAGTTCATTAAGGTATTTTATGTGGATGTTTGTTCTGAAGTATACTTAGGCACGCCAATTTTTTAATTTTATTCTAAATGGTGCATTATTGTTTTAGGTCAAGCTCTCTGAATATATTGGGAAGAAATATGTGATTCTATTCTTCTACCCATTGGACTTTACATTTGTTTGCCCCACAGGTTCGTTTCACTCTGAACATTTGAACTGAAGTTTTCTATGAAATTAGATTCTCATTTTTACTTCTATCCTCTGAAATTTCTTCCTGCTTGCAGAGATTACTGCTTTCAGTGACCGCTATGAAGAATTTGAGAAGCTAAACACAGAAATATTAGGTGTTTCTACTGACAGTGTGGTAAGTTCCTTGTTACCTGAAGAAGGCAGAAGAAAAACTTGTATTCTTCATTCCAGCTGTTTCCTATTGTTAGAGCAAAGATGTGTATTTTTCTCTTCTATAATAAAAGTTAGTAGTTTCCTACAGGCACAGCAGATTCTTAAATCAATGCTTCCATCTTCATCTTAGTCTTAAGTATTTTGCTTGTTGGTTATGCATAGATATGGCAGTTGACTTTCAGGTATTTTCCGGTTCAGTTGTAGACATTTTGAGTCAATTCAGGTTGGGTAGGGTTGGGTTTTGGACGGTTTGAGCAGACAATTCATTTTTGGGTCAATTTTATCCTCATTTACTCTGCTAAGATCTAGCAACCTGGTTCAGGTTAATCAGGGTTCTGGCTGTTGATTCTTTGTTTTAGAATAAACTGTGTTGAATTTTTGGTTGACTTACCTTTTTACCTTGTGTACCCTACGTAACAATGTTTGTTATGCCTCATTGACTGATTTTGGAGATACATGGTTATAGTGATTTGCAATCGCTTTGCTTATCTCATCACTATAGTGGACCCATTATAAAGTCGCAGAGTTGCACTTGCACATTGTCCTACCAAAGTTTGTTAACTTGTCTATCTACGTGTATTACAAAATACTTCCTTCCTCCTTAAGTTATGTTGCTAGTGCACTGTCCTCTAAATATTTTGTAAAGTAATTGTTTATTTATATTTTTATGATCTATACATTTTATGTCTGCAATTCTTGAAGATTTCTAGGCACACACTGATGAGATGCCAAGGGTTATTTTTACCTGGTTGAAATGCTAAATTATAGCAAGCATTTCAGAGTGGATCAAGAGACATGTTTAATACGAAAGGAAAATCAATAAAGAACATTCCTGTTCTAGTCTGAAAAAAGCTCTGATTCAATGATGTATTAGTGATTTGCAAACAATAAAATATTTGTTACTTTATACTATATGGAAAGTTACATAATTTCCTGTAAGCGCAGCTTATCTGCTTATCTATTATGTGGAAGTTGATATTGCGAAGGCTAAGATCTTGGTGGATTTTGTATGTTTGCTGCTGATGCTCTGCATTTTTAATTTTCTCTTGAAGTCTACATAATATTTATGTCTACTATAGCTTAGATTATAGTTCTCATGCAGTATAACTAAGCATTAATACATTTCTTGTAGCATCTGCATTTGTAATTTTCTGATGAACTTTGCTTTGTTGCATTATAGTTTAGATTATGTTTTTGGCATTCAAGGTAAATAAAACTTAAATCTCAACTTATTCTTTGTGCAGTTCTCTCACCTTGCCTGGGTTCAAACAGATAGAAAGTCAGGTGGTCTTGGTGATTTGAAGTATCCACTGATATCTGATGTCACCAAGACAATTTCCAAATCCTATCGAGTGTTGATTCCTGATCAGGTATGAGATAACTTCGTGTTTGCTAGCATCTAATGCTCAACGAGCATAACATCATTTCTTCTTTTAACTTTTTGAATATGTAGTTTGCAAGAATGTTGCATATATTCATGGCTGGCTTGACTGTCACCCAAGGGGGTTTTGTTTGACTGCACAGCTGATGGCTTGTGATTAATTGTTGCTCATACATGCATCTGTATATCTGTGTATCCCTTATCTTTTAGGGTTTGATTGGTTCATCAAAAACGAGGTCTTGGAATTGATTTTTCCTCTTTTTTTAGTGTTTGGTAAACCAAGAAAATTATGGTCAAACGAAAATGTTTTGCATTAAAGAAGAAAACACATAAACGTTACTCAAAAACACTTGATAAGTTGAGATCCAAAGGTTGTTTTCCAGACCCATGCCATCTCGCTCACTCTATCATCTTAACTATACTTTTCCCCATAGTGAGCACTTCTTTATTGCAAATATAATCTGTACCATACATTTCTTACAAGTTCATTTTGGATGCAAGGGAATTGCATTGAGAGGGCTTTTCATTATAGATAAGGAGGGAGTTATCCAGCACTCTACTATTAACAACCTTGCTATTGGGCGGAGTGTTGATGAAACAATGAGGACACTCCAGGTAATTATATTTTACTAGGCTGGTATTGCAATCAACTAAAATTCCAATAGGATGCATGGGTCTTGTGCCATTAAGGAGGGTCACTGATGAGCATCCACACTTGTTCTTAGAATTGAATTGTAAGATTCTGCTTGTTACTTTATGGTGAAAGTTTCCTTTGTGGCATATATTTTCTTGTAATTTGCCTTATGCATTTTTCTTTTTCGGCTTGCACTTCCTGCAGGCCTTGCAGTATGTGCAGGAAAACCCAGATGAAGTTTGCCCAGCTGGGTGGAAACCCGGAGACAAATCCATGAAACCAGACCCTAAGCTCAGCAAGGATTACTTTGCAGCAATTTGAGCATAGCAAAGAAGAAAGCATTGTATATATGTCCATTAGGAATGTCAAATGAGTTTTGTTTTTCTATGCATCTTTTTATCATTAGCGAGCTTTGGATATTAATGTCTGGGTAATAATCAATCATGTTTGGACTGGGCCTTTGCGCTTTTTTGGATGCGTTTATGTAGAAAACTCAATCGTCCTTTTTTTCACCCACTTTAATTTTACGAAGCACATCATTCATCTTTGCTTCTTGCTTTCCCAAAGAAACTAGTAGGGCTTTAGACCTGTAACCAGTTGGATTCTGTCTGCTGGATTTTCTTCTGTTTTTCTAAGTTAATCAGAACCCTAAATAAGGTTGACCATATTTAGGCCAACTGCAAGGAATCTTGATGTGGGATTTGACAGATCTAATCTTTAAGGAATCCAAATGCCATCAGTTGGATCAACAGCCAATCGTGTGTCTCACGTTTTGCACTATTGTAATATGGTACCTCTATCCCAAAAAAATGGGCTTTTTTTTTTTTTAATGTTGTTGGTTGTTAGGGGATGCTATGTTAATTAATTCCCTGGTTTATGGTTTTAATTAATTTCATTTATCATCCATATCCATACCACTTTCCAATAATCCAAAGATGATTTTATTCAATAAGTTCGCAATTATGCTGACATTAGGGTTCTTTACCAGAACATGGTATTATAATTATTCAAAGAATTCGGTGACAACAGGACATGGAATTTGAAGTTGAATTTCAAGTATGGTTCTCTTTCAATACCATTGAACACAAAGAAAACAGAAGCTGAAAAAAATGGAGAAAGGTCTTAGCAAGGCATCATTATTAAGAAGTTAAAAAGTCATCAAGATGTTTTTGCCTCTACTCTATTCTGCGATTGGATATGAATAATTAAGTTGAATTAAGTATAATCATGATTAAGAAGTCAAAATTATTAAAAATATATATATAAGAACTCCTTATAAATTTTAGCATTTTCTTTAAAATAAAATTTTTTACAAGAACTCGTAATTTAATATAATCGATTCATAAATTCAAATTTTAATACTTACAATATTTTTTTATCTATAAACTGCGATATCTTTTTTATAGAAAATATCTTTAATGAATAATTTTATCAATCATATTCTATTTGTTCGTGAAAGGTAAGATTCCCTTGGACCACATTACATGTTTCATCAATTTTTTCCTTCCATCTTTATATAAACGAGTATATGCTAAGACCACCGAAATATACAAATCAAACGTTCCTTTATTTGCAAACATCAACATATAATGTCATTGATCCAATTTCCACATAATAATGACAGAAAATAAGATTGAGAAGATCAAATCGTTCTTGACCACTCCTGCCCTGTATCGTACATGGAGAAGGAACAACATTTGTAGTCCCCATATGCCATAGCCAAAACATGTCTATTCCAACCGATAACATGCATGTGATATATTCTTGTCAAGTCATTAAAAGATGAACATCTGAGTTAACATGATTTATGGAACACAATTGACGGCTTTGTTTCCTATGGTTGACTCCTTATATAAATCTCTTTCTTTTTTAATGAAATACTAAAATGAACTAGTGTATAAGCATGTTCACATTTTTTGATATAATCATACGAAAATTTTAATTATTTAGCTGAAATGATCAGGATGGAGTGAGATTTGTATATGTATTTTTAAGTTCTAGCATCGATTCCTTCCATATTTTTTCTTCTTTTATCTTTTTTTTTTTTTAACAAACGAAATCGATGATTAAAAAAATTATAATTACTGATATTTGAATTAAACATATTAAAAATTAGTTTTCAAAAATAATTTAATGAATTAATTGAATTAAATTTTAAATTTTTTTTGAATTTTTTAATATAATAATATATTATTGCGTAAATTAAGGTTAAATTTATCGATTTTTAAATAAATTGACGAAAATTAAGAGATGATGGATGTGACAATAAAAAAAAAAGGATGAAGGTGCATTTTCCTTATCATTTTCGGTTGTAATCATGAGTTTTGAATTTGAGTTTTTCAATAAAATTTGATTTTGGAAAGGATTTAGAACACCAAATGTGGAAAAGATGAATTAAGGCATAGTTTAAGAGAAAATAATGAACATAATTATTTTACACAATTGTCATCATGAGCCCATGACTTTGAATACAAGTGGGCCCATTGAAGGGGCCCGTTCAAGTGGGACCCAGGAATAGAAAACGCATCGCGTTTTTCTTAAAATAATAATTGATAAAAACGCGGGTGCATTATGTCGTATCAGCATTGACCGCCGACACAATGAAGTACAGGGTTGGAAAGTGATTTTGTCTATGGCCTATAACTCTAATCTAAGCAAAAAACAACCTTATTCGAAGCTTCCTTTTCCATTAAAAAAAAAACACTATATTAAATTAGTTTTAAATAATGTGGTAAATATAATAATTTTACTAATATTTTATTCGCAATTATAGGTTTTGTTTGATAAAAAAAGAAAATAAAGTGAAAATAAAAAATTTATTAATTTAATGATTAAATTATAAAATAAAAAATAATTATGAATTTAACTTTTTTTTACATTTTTTTTTATCTTTCTTGTTAAGTAAAGCTTAAATGCATTATTTACACATCATTTACTCTCAAATTTATTTGTAAATTTTAAAAAATTCATTTTCAATACGTAAAATGAAATTTTAAATTTTAATGTTGAAGTTAGATTAAAAATTATATATATATATATTTTAAATGAATTATGACTAGGGTTATGCAACCTAATCCAAGAGATCTAGACGAATGCATAAGTCTCATGACACTTCCTTTTACTTAAGTCAAGTTTAATACATAATCGGATTTCAATCCCACCATATGCAATGACGACATTGGAGCATTCTTCAAAAGTGTAATCTTAAGACGGTTCAAGGAATTTTCCTTTATAATAAGGAAAAATTTTCAACAAAAATTCTCCGGGGATTAGGGATTGACTAATATTTAATGTGCAAGGATTAAGGGAAAGTGCGGTCGAAACGATTTTTCATTTGTTTGTTCGAGCAATGACTTTGAAAAAATATATATTTTGAATAGCAATGTTTGAAAAACTATAACTATGTGAAATTGAAATGTAAAAACGCTTGGGAGATGGTAAATTTTCTTTGAAAAACATGTTCGTTGATCACGGTTTTTCATAGTTAATAATCAACCGATTGAATTAAATTAAATATGATTATATTAATCTATTTCTATTACATCATGATTAAAGAATTCTTTCCTTTGAATTAGTAAAACTACTTGTTCAATGATCCGGTGGATAAGTAATTCAACTCTAACAACTTTGAAGTCCAATTATTTGAATAAACCAACAATTTTGGATTTTTTTTCTTTTTTCTTTTACATTTCAAGGTTAATTAGTATTATTTTTTTTAATTTATGAAAATAATCATGGTTATAGAGTTGTTTGTGCTGAGCTGATCTGGAGGAGTAAAATTTTAAAAACACCATAGAAAAGGAATGATTAATAACAAAAGTTAAAGTGATTCCAATATTTGTATTCCGTAATTCTAATAAGAGATCGACTTTAAAAAGAAAAAAAGAAGAAAATAGTATAAAATGTATGGAAACTAAATAAATAAGAAATACCTAAATGATGTTATTTATAATTATAAAAAAAGGTTTTAGGCATCTTATGCTGTTCAATTTAGTTATAAGAGATTGGAATTAGACCTAACAAATTTGAATTAAATTGACAATTAACTATTCACTTGAAACATGATAAGTCACATTTTAGAGGTTTAATATGTAAATTATTGAGATGATCAAATTGACATAAACTTATGAATTTAAATCAATTTGACACATTAACTAGATATATATGACCAAAATATCCTTAATCGTCAACTAATTTATATTAAAAAAAATTCTATTTTATCCTTTGAAGTTAAAAATTCTTTAAAAAAAAAAAAAGTAAAAACTAATCCTCTAAAATCTGCTATAATCCGAAAAAAAAAATTTATAAAATCCACCTCTACTGTTTTAGGGTTATAGAACGGAAAGTTTTGATTTGGAGGATAGCAGCGAAAAATTGGCACATCTATAACAATAAGTTTCAAATTTAAAAAAGGTTTGGTTATGGCGTATCTTAAGGTGGAACTTTGTGGATCGAATGTCAATGCTCTTTTCAAGTCGAGGAATGAAGAATAATACAAGGAATATCCAAGTCACATGCCTAAGTACTTCCCATATGGGTACCAACTAATCACAATTCTACCATTTCTTTACTCATTTTTTAGTACGGACCACATAAAAAGCATCCATCTTTGCTTAGATAAAACTATATTGAGAGAGTTTACAGAATTAATAAGGATATAAACAAAACTAGGAGTAGTAAGTTCTGAATTGATGATTTCTTCACTGTTTCACATAGGGGGAAAGTGTCACTACATCTTTTCTCTACAGACATGTATATATCAGACTCCCCTTGGGACCCCGCGCTGGCTGGCCAACTTCCAAAATTCCACCAAAAAAGTTCCTCTCCCATCCTTGGATGGTTGTACGGCATTACAACCGTATATACCCCTATATATACTTAGTAGGCAAAACCCAAAAAAGGAAACGGAATATAAAGCGGAAGCGAGACAACATATCAGGTGGCAACCCCGGAGTCCGGCACGTAGCTAAGTCTATCCACTTCATCCCATACTAATTTTGATGTTATTTCATCGTATTCGGGAACGTATTCCTGTTAACATAGAAAACCATAGTCAATGAGGTTAATTTCATTCTTATGTTCCAAACCTCGTGTGAAATTGGTTTTTCAATCAGTCACTCTCATGGAAGAGTGGGGGAGAGACATCATTGCATGAAGAAAGAATGGTTAATGAAGGGGGATTTAAGGTACATATAATTCGACTTAAATCAGTCTTAGTCATGGAACTTGGGATTATTCAACCCTTCAAACATGTGAGTTTCCTATTCATTTTCTTTAAATCTTTTTTATTTGCTATTGAATATTTAGAAGGAACTGCTTACCTCTAGTTGTCTGACCAATTGTTTAGCAGTTGGGGCAGACACGATAATGCGTCGTGCGGTTGGTGAAATAAAGCCTTCATCTACGGCCTTATCGATGAAAGACAATAAAGAATTGTAATATCCATCCACATTCAAGAGACCCACCTACAAAAAGGAATATGAACTACATATAAATTATTGGATAAAGTATAATATCCCTGTCCAGTGTATCAATTTATAATAATTTGGGTTTGTCTAGTGACCTAAGACACAATAACAACACTTTCATTTGACCAACATTTGTTTGTTTGTCTGTTCTTTTTTTTTTTTAATTTTAAATGGTATGTAAGAACCTTTCCCCCATTCAAATGGAAATCTTTGAATCAATTCTCCAAATCATGAAGCACGAGCATCATTAGGTTATCAAATCTTATGCTATCTTTTCATGTGGATTCCATTGAAACACCACATGTTTCGATCCTTAAGTTTTTTTTCTTAATCCATCATTAATTTATAAGATATTAATCTAAGCAAAGCCATATCAAATTTGCTTTCTAATAGTATGGAATACCTAAGAAAAACATCAATAGACACTATAACACTATAAATCAAACACGTAGAATCTCGGTATTAAGCTTGGAGACAGGATAGAAATATACATTAATGTGAGACTACAAATCCAAGTTGAGTTCTACAACACAAAATATGATGCCATGTGAAGATAGGAGTGGCTGAAAATATGTGTTAGAATGATCTAAGAGTTGAACAACAAATATTTTAAGGTGATAAATCCATTTATTTATTTATTTGTCAAGAGGACACATGTTTCTGTAATTGACAACTTCAATTATTTTCTCTTTTAGAAACTACCATTGCCTTGATTTGATTTTTACCAGTTAGAAGGAAAATTGTTCTTCCTACCATTATTAATCGAACCACTAATTTCTATTCGAGACCAAGTTCTTATCTGTAGTCTACCAAACCATCATACTCAATGATTGACATAACTAAGCAAATGGATTGGGAAATAGAACATATTTCTTACAGGTTTTCGATGGATTCCAAGCTGCGCCCATGTAATAACTTCCAGCAGTTCTTCAAGGGTGCCATAGCCACCTGATATTCAATAAAAACATTACAAATTTACTTGAAAGCATATAGTAATGTTTGAGCATTCCAAGCCAAGGATTTCTAATATATTATAATATGATGTCAGCACATATTGTAGCACATGTTTACGACATCTTGATCGATGGATTAAATGGAGACTAATAAATTATAAGAACAAGAGAGGTGATGTACGAACTGAATAGAACTCATACCGGGGAGTGCAATGAAGGCATCAGCCTGTCGTGCCATTTCAGCTTTCCTTTGGTGCATATCAGACACAGCTCTTACTTCTCCAACAGTCTCACCAGTAATCTGCAATAACACCCCCATGTTTCAAAGAAATTATCAATAACACCTCTCATAAAAAGTTAGACAAAAATTTACAAAATTAGTAAAAACTAGATTACAAAGAATAAAGAAATTAAACAATCAGATATCCACCAAAAACCAAGTCACTTTGACAAACTTCTAATCGAACTCAGCTTTCAAATATTGAAACTTCACTTTTACTTTTATGGCTGAAATCTGTAAGCCATTAGTTCTATCATTATTCATTAGGCTACATAATGGACAGCTATAGATGAATAGCTACACTATTATATTATCATTTTCAGCTATGTCACTGTAAATGAATGATCGATTTCATGGGTAAAAGAATTCAGATAACACTAAAAAATTGGAGATTTGATTAAAGGCTTCTGAAAATTACCTCTCTAGGCATCAAGGTCCTTGGAATAACACTGCAAAATCAAACAACCATAAATGACCATCATTCTAAAGACATAAACAAAAGAATTGAATGTAGTAAAGATTTTACTTCCAAATTTGGAAGAAATTAAACTACAGTTATAAAAAATTATGTTGTTCCCAGGGGGTGTACCAAAGTCATTTTCAATGTAAAAAATGCATTCAGTTATGTTAAGAGGGGGCTCCAATGACTGCCAAAAAGAGTTTCTAAGACTCTAGGGTCTACAACTTTAAAATCAACTTTAACAGGGTGTTAAGAGTACAATTGAGGAATAGCAATGCAAGGGCAAAAGGGGATTCACCTTTCCCAACCCGATCAAAGCTGCTTAATGAAAAGTTTTCTAAAAGCTTTAGTAAAGGCACTTTTAGATTCTACTAGTATGTACGAGATAACCATGTTCTTCCTTTCTGCACAAATCCAATTGGACCACTTAAAACGAAGAGAAAACTTTTACACGTGTGAAAATCTTTTTTTTTTTAAAGTAAAAAAAGGGGACAAATCAATTCTTTTCTCTGGACCAACATTTGATCCCATGATGTCTGCCTTTGTTGAGAAACCCACTGCCATAGATAATTGAGAAGAATTTGCATGGTTCAAGAGGGAAAAACTCTTTAAAAATATCATATGCTCGTAACCCATTTCAAAGTCCAAAAAAATAAAACAAATATCATTAACCATATTTTGAGATTTAAAGAAGACAATCAAATGATGCTTTTGTCTTTTGAAACAACAAGACCAAGAAAGAAGAGAGAGAGAGAGAGAAAACAAACCCTAGAACATGGCGCCCACCATCATGAACTGCCTGAGAAACAAGACCCATCAATCCCACGCTTCCACCTCCGTAGACCAAATCAATCCTTCTCTCCACCTTCGAAAAACCAAACACAACTTTTACAAAAATGCATCGAAAACCAAACCCATTAATACGTGTCACAAGGACATAAAACATTAAATTTTTTATCTATGCAAGAATTAACATAAACAAACTGATAAAACAATTGTAAGGTTGAGTGGAAAGGGAAGTGAGTGACATAAATATAAGTAGTATTTTCATTTCATGGAACCCCATAAACAAAAATCATGGAGGTTTTCTTGTAGAAGTGCCAAAGGGAAGAACACGCTCAATCGAGCCATGATATCAAGGCAAGCACGTTTGTTTCCCTTGTGAAAAGCAGTGAGAGACTATGATTGTTGATTATTTTATTATTATTATTATTATAATTAATCTCAAGTGTTCTTGAAAAAAAGAAATAAAACAAAGGATCATGCAAGAAGGCTGCTCAACTGACAGGCAGGTTACAGCTAGCAAAGTCTGCCTGCCTCTCTCTCTCATGCCAAACATAAACCCTAAACCTTCTCTCCCTATACAGCTAATTCCCTTCTACAATCATAAGCCCACGTCGAAGGCTTGATTGTTTCAACTTTCAACACCTCCCCACTTGAGAGGAAAGAAAATAAGAATTCAGAAAAGAAAAATCATTCATTCTGGGATCTAAAAGGAATGTAACTAAAGATCATATTTGAAATTTTCAACCATGGAGAACAAACTTGTAGGTGTACTAAGGAAACTGCTCCTCATCTATGGACGAGAATTGCACTAATTAAAAAAAAATAACTCATTTATTGAATCAGATTTTCTAGAAAACAAAACAATGACTCCACTTTGAAACAAATAAGTAATTAAAATCTAAGTTTAAACAAGTACAAAAAAAAGTTGTCCAAATTGGAATTGTTCTAATTTTCCAGTAAACATTCTTCCTCGGAAGCTCTTGAAAAGTACAAATGAAATGAAAACGAACAGGAAAAAAGGGAGGAAACAGTTCTCCCCAGAAGGGAAAGAAAAAAAAAGGAAGGTAAAAAAAGGCATGATTAATGTTTCAATTTACCAGTTCCTTGCCTAACTCGACAGCAGCTTCTTGGTAGCTAGCTTTCTTCCCTGAACTGCTTCCACAAAACACACAAATCCTTTCAAACCTAGACTTTGTCTCTTCCATCTCCCTCTTCTCTTCCCTTTCTTTCTTTGTTTTTCTCTCACTTTCTTGTTCCTTTTTATAACAATAATGATGTCCTTCAAAGGTTTGAGAAATGAGAACAAGGTGAGTAGTAAGTAGTACTTGTTCAAATACACAGGGAAATGAAAAGATAATATGTTTCCAAACCCACATCCAAGAGTACATTTATATTGGGTACATTTATATAGTTCCTATTAGTGTTTATTTTGGGATTTTATATTACTTGGAAAGTATAAAATATTTATTATTGATTATTTAAATGGAACAAAATAAACACAAAGTGGGAACTTTATTAGAAAAATGGAGGCGAAATGATGTGCTTTCCATTATATCTTAGTTTCACACTGTCAGCCACTAGTTTTCTTCCACATGGATAAATAGTCAACCTTATAAAGATTGTCATTTTTGGGCTTGGCTTTCTTTGCTTTTTTTCATCAACATGGATCTTTTTAGAAACATACAACAACAATTCCTGTTGATGAATAGCGTTTGTCAAATTTTCAACAATAAGTGATTTAGAAAAAAGTGAAAGTGTTGAAGATTAAAGCTTAAATTGAATATTAATACTTAAGATTTCTAAATTCAAAATTTCTTAATTCATTGAGAATATAGGTAAATGTCAGAATATTTCTTTAAAGGAAATAAATTTTTGATTAAAAACTTATATTTATGTAAATTAATCATGGCATATTATATATATATATATATACCAAAGTGATGTACTAATTTTAAAGCTCAAAAATATTTTTGTGAAAAAAAAAATAATACCATATATGATCTATTAGAATCTTGAATTTTTTTATTTTAATAATTATAAATCAATACTTCACAACTTTACATATCAAAACAAAAATCAATTAGTATTAATATATACTTATATGATGAATCACATCAATAATTTAGATTTATTAAGCTTTGAAGCTTGAAAGGAGCTCATAACAATAAAATGAGAGCAACCTCATTGAAGCATCATGGATCTCAATTAGAGTACATAAATTTTTTAAAAGATATAAGTTGCTTAATTATTTTAACGTTTTTCTTAATTACATTTGTCTTCTTTAATTACAAAAGCATGCAGCTCACGTGTAAACCCCAAAATTTTGGGTGCGCGTGCCACTTGATGGGCTTTCACATAGAAATTCCTTAATATATATAATAAAATATACCACATTAATTTGACAACTATAATTAAGTTGTAATTACCTTGTTAATTAAGTGTTTTGGTCATCTAATTAGGTGCCAAGAAAGGTGTTATTCATGCCATGCATGAGTCAAAATTACAAATCTACCCCTAAAAGTCAGCTAGGCAAAGGCCAAAATCACTGTTTTATTGGATGTTAACATATATAATCGCATTAATTAAATGGCTTCTGATTAAGTTGCAGATTATCGAACTAATTAAAATTCGTGAACAACTATTACACAAATAATTTATGGGAAAAATTTTACATTTTAATTAAAAATAATGAATTTAAGTTCTAAACCATTTTATAAAGATTCATGTGATGCAGAAACTGTTTTTGTGAATAAACATTCGCGAGCTAAGATGCGCTTTGGAATTTTTCCATCGGCAAATTTTTTTTCTTTTATGTTATATAAAAGCACTTGCATGCGACACATGACTATAATGATTACATTAATTTTGTTTTGATTAGAGGAAATCATAGTAACAATAAAAATTAAAATATATAAAACAGAGAAAGTAAAGGGGAAATGCATCTATCAAAATTTTTATTAAAAAATAAAGAAAAAGAAATTGTTGGTTTATGTAATAATTTTTAATTATATGTCAAATGTTGATTTATAAACCTTACATTAATTGATGAGAAAAAAAATTTACAAATAAAATAACATTACATTCCGACCTTCTCATCTTATTAATAAATCTGTAAATAGTTGAATAACTTTATCAATGAAATCTACATATTATAAAAAAAAAAAAAAAACTTTTATATGATATAGAACTTGAATTTAAGACGTGAAGATGTCAAAATCTTTTTTTTTTATCATTAAATTAAAAGTTGATAAAAAAAGCTGACGTTCAATGTACAGTTGTAGTAACTACTTAACAAATTAAGTTTTGAGTATCTCTTTGCTAAATACAAATTTTTTTTTTACCAAAACAAGATGAAAATAAATAAAAAAAACAAAAATTTATAAGTGTTAAAATCGAAATTCATTTTTACTTCGTTTTAATCGATAAAAAGAAGTGAGTCCCAGTTTCAGAGAATTCATCGTTAATTGTCAAGAGAAAAGGAGACGGTGGATTAAATTAAAAAGAAAAATCCAGGTGGACAGTTTGAATAGGATAACAGGTGAAAAATTATGAGTGGTATACGGACAAGAAAGAAAGAAAGAAAGAAAGGCAAATCGGGCTTTGGGAAATGGAAATACTCCTTGGGGAATGATCCAGTGTTGTTGTACTGACAAATGTAATGATTATACTTTTGCTTGATTTATGCTTCTTGATTGATTGACGTGATGATATAATAATTAGCAGAACTGAAGAAGCAGCAGTAGCAGCAGCAGAGGAGAGGAAAATTCATCTGCTTCAAACTCCTAACCTTATCTTACATCCATCACTCCATTTCTGCTCGTCTGCTACCTCTTGCAACATTGCATGCTTCCTATGGCTATCAGATCATCACCCCCACTTCAAACATTTTCACCTTTACCAATCAAATTTATCGCTCCAAAATTTTCTATTATATATATAAATTGTTGAGAATTTAGTGCTTTTTATTTGAATAAAATTCAGAATAAAAATGATATACATATATTGAGAAGTGTCTTCCTCTGTTTTAAATAAATAGTGTTAAAAACAACTAAAAATCACTTTTTATGAAGACAAACCATTTTGTTAACTGAATTTAACTTGCCTGAAACACACATCTTAGTCTATGTTACAACATCACTTATGTCATTTTTACGTTAGTACTTGGAAAAACTTTGATAAGGCAATGACAAAGAAAAATTTGTCATCATGTAAAACTTTTTACAAGAACAATTTCAAAGAAAGCGTCCATTGCAATTTGAAGATCAAATGACACAAAATCAATTGAGTTCAAATAACTGAATAAAAGAGTCAGTCAAACAACACCAGCCAAGAAAAAAAGCATGCGTCGTTCACACACAAACCCATCATCGATCTATTGTCAAAAAGTAAGTGGCAGTTCATTCAAATCCCAGTTAATAGTCCGCATGTGTAGCAGCCAGTAAATAAACAAAAATTAGAACAGTCGGTGACGTTAAACCTTTTGAAAACGAGTTCTTCGTATGAATTTTTCGCCGACAAGTATTGTGTCAACTTCAAGCAAGGACGCGGAGAGGATGATATCCGTTAGATTCCACCGGCAACGAAAAATCTCAGACGTCCAATTAAGATTTCAACGGCGCCCCATAAAAGCGAAGGAGCTAAGCAATCTCAGCCAAGGGGGCATTGGCAATTAGCCCCACGAGATTCAATGAAAGGGACAAGACAAGCACTGTGTTGGCGTAAGAGGGGCCCACAATGTAAGAGATAAGAGACACACGTGTGGGACAAGCCGCCGGCAAAACAACCGACGCAGAAGGCGAAGAAAGGACTGAGAGAAATGGGGATTGCAGGAGCGCACGCAGACAAAAAGAGAACAGAGCCGATAGCATGGGCCAGGACAGGGTGGGCTTTTCACTTTCCTTCCGGGGTAGTTGCTGTCAAACCATTAATGGCTTTGTGTCAAATTCCATTGATACGTTGTTTCATGCTGTTTTTTTTTTCTTTTTAATATTGTCCTCCAGATTTTCAAAGCTTGATCGGTCCCCAAAGATGGATGGATTGACAGTTATTATGCAGTTGGTTTCAGTTAGCTTTAGGGTTGGATATATATAGGTTCAATTCATATATACACTGTTTACTTAATGTTAAATTTTGTACTACGTACGTTCTCCAGGGAAGATGTGCACAGCTTCTTTTATATTAACAACTCGGGAGTTTTTTTTTTTTTTTTTTTGAAACAAAAATTCTGAAATGGATAGATTACTGATGCATTAGATGCTTTTTTCCACATCAAGATCTGATCCCAAATTCAAAACTATTACTGAAGCATTGTACTTCCTTTTCTCCCTTGATGTCTATCAAGAAAGGAACATGAAAATTTTGATTTTTTTTTACATTAAAGTTATAAAATGTTTAATTTCAAAACTTCCATATGATTAAAGGTTGTATAAAAGAAAAAACAATGATGGAAGATTAGTCAAATTGAATTCACATAAAGATTAATCAAATCCAGGCGGGAACTTAATGCCGGTATGATGCAGTCAAATAAAAAAGAAATGATGAGATTGATATGATTGAGATAATAATCATGTGCAAGAAATTTTTATGTTTTTTTTTTATAGATATACATATCAATCTTATTCTCATTATTCACTTGTGTATAAAGTTAAAAATTTTTGGAATATATGCATTTATTAGTAAAGGAACTGTTTTTACTCTATTAAATCTAATCGATCGGCCATTGTGTTTTTTTTTTTTTAATTTATTTTAATTTTTTTGAAATTGAGTTAGACCTCGTAAAAGAGTAAAATTTTTTAGGATTATAAGAATATCTTAGGTTGCTTGGGTATCTTTCCAAAACCACCATCCAGCCAGGTGCTCCAAATTAATTAATGCTCTTTTTTTTTTTTTTTTTTGTTTGTGTTCTGGTGGCAATTATGAAATAAGAAAATGTAGGCCAATTTAATCATTTTAAATAATCTTTGATTGAAAAAAAAAATCTTAAAAAGAATGTACAAAAGAAAATCCAATAGAAAATTTTACGTATCTCATATTTTTGAAGATCGAATTTAGATCAAACTAAATAATATATTGAGATAATGTTGGCAACACACGAAAGTAAGACTCAACAGCCAAAACCTTAAATTAATTTTATGTTTAAAATTGATGAAAATTCCCATTATGTCATGTCATTTAATGTTTCTTAATTAAGGATATGATCTCCAAAAATCTATGAGAAGAAACGGTCTAAGCTTAAGTTGTCATTAAATTTAAACTTAGATTCCCCCATAAATTATGCAAAGGCAATGCTGACAAAATTTTTTTCAGGATTTGATTTGCATTTCCTTGATTTGAAATCTTTGTGAATTGCAGTTGGCAAACAGATAAATTAATGTTGTATTTAAATTCAGGAAATACTCACTTGATTCTAGGCTTCAACAATCTGGACGGAAGAAAAGCCAATGGGTTGTCATCTTACAATTATACTTAAGCCATTTGTAGTTAAAAATGTTGCAATGATCCATTAGTGTTTGATGAAATGACTCTTAAACTTTTGCAAAAAGGTTCAATTTTCTACCTACTTTGAAACTTTAGAAAATAATAGCTTAACGGTGGTCTATTGGATTTAGAAGTTTTGGGTTTAAATTAGGGATGGAAGCATAATCCGTGTCCAAGTTTTCATTCAATCCAACTTGTTAGGGTCCATTTTTTTTTTTTTTTTGAAAATCAAGTTTTAGGTTAAATAATTGTAGAATAAAATCATGGTCAGATAAACCCATCTTACCCCTCCTGGATATATATATATATATAATTATTTTTAATATTTATTTAATTTTATATTTATAAATATTTATTTAATTTTATATTTATATTAAAAAATAATATTTTATATTTAAAATAATATTTTATTAAATTTGAGTTGGATCAAATCAAATACAATTTTACATAATATCATATCAAATCAAATTTAAATGTAAAAAAAAAAATATTAATTTAAATATTATATATAAAAATTAAACCAAATTCAAATATTATATATATACATGCCCGTTTAGATTTGAAAGATTCATAAAAATCCTATTCTATCAATCTGAACGGTTGGACCTGGTGGAACGTTCCAAGATTTGGACCTTTAAGGCTTCTGGAGTCCAACAAACTGAAAACACAAGCGAAGAAAGTATTCCCAAACTCAAAGGCTTTGAACCCAAGATTGGGTTCGGCTTTTCGTCAATTCAATAGGACATTATTTTATTGGGTATGCAGAAAAAGACTGTCGCTGAAGAAGTTTGAGGGTGGATCGAAAAGCCCTGGACCAGGCAACACCTTTTAGGGAGAAGTTAACCCATTTTCAAGAAAAGCAGTTGGGCAGAAACAACTTGCTACAGCCCATCAATAATTTAAAACATGAGCTTTTCAGCAGTGTCATTGTATTCCAAGTTGTGTAACTCGTTTGAGTCCCAGAAAAATCCGCCCAACTCACGAAGGGAATCTATCTAATATTGAAGAAAGAAAAGTTCACAACGGTACTTTGTAGAGAGCAGTGAGTAAAAGTTTTAAAACAGTTTTAAAAAAAATAATCAAACTGTTCAATCATAAATAGAAAGAGGGACATGTTTCGTGCCTATGTTTTGTACCTTTTGCGAGATGTGTGTGCTGAAAGACGAGATAGTTACTTGTCCTGTTGTTTGACAGTTTGTAGGCGCAATATGACGTCGAGTTCATTTCCCACGAGAATGACTCCACCCTCGCTCCCAATATTGATTCACGTGCTTGGTTTCTTTTCATATATTCACGGTATTGAATGCCACTCCATCCCCATCTCAACTATAGAGCCTACTTGGTGGTAAGTTTTTTCTAACCCACCATCACATGGATCTCAATATCATTTTTAGTTATTATAACTTTCTTTTTTTCTTTTTTTTATTACGTCATCCTTGCATAGGAAATTTGGCCTCTCGGGACTGAGAAGAACGGTGAATGGAGATTTCAACCATAATCAAAAGTGAAAATAATAAGCAAAATAAAAGATTTCTCTTAGGGATGACAACGGTTCGGTCGAGATGAGTTTTTGTTCGTCCTGAACTCGACCCGATTTTAAACATGCAAAATATGACTTCGACTCGATCTGATAATTTTTTATTATTTTTTATACTCGAATCTGAATCAATTTAATATTATATAAAATCATATTCGACTTAAATCGACTCGAAATTAATAAAATATTATTTATAATATAAATATAAAATTAAATATATATATAAATATATAAAAATAATTATAAAATTAAATAAATAATTATAAAAATTATTTTTATATATCGGATCGAGTATGATCGAATTTGCTTAAAATTTAACCCGATTTTTTTTTCATGTCACTCGATCTGATCCGATGTCTAATTTTTTTTTTAAAAATTGATCCTAAAATGTCGGATCGAATCGAAACTCATTGGATACGAATTTTTTTAGCTCTTCTAATTTCTTTCTTCAACATGCAACAAAAAAGAGTAAAAATTGTCAAGCAAACTATTTTTTGAAAGTAATATTTAATTTCGGGTTTGGAAGCAATGAATAATTAAAAAGAAAATTTTGACTTGGGTTGCAAAAAATGGAGCTTTTTTTGGGAGTTGCAAAAGGGTGAAAATTAACTTGGTTTCTGTTGTAATTCTCTCCAATTATTAAGGGCGTAATAGACTTCAAATTTGAAAAATAAGGGCACAATAGCCACAAGGGTAGGACTCCCCCTGTACATAACAATACTTAAGACGATGGGAATGAAATATCCCCAAAATAACTGAATTTTTTTAAAATTCAAAATACAACATTTTCATCTCACACAGTGTCAGACAAATCAAACACCGACATGTTCGAGAATTACTGTACCATTTCGAGCAATAATCAAATATTTCAAGAACCAAATGAACCCTTACAGCATCTTCTGAACACAATTAAAAAATTTTTAAAATAGTTTGAATGTTTTGCTTAAGATAACTTTTTTTTTTTAATTATTTCAAGAACAAATAAGTTTCTGAAATCTTATCATAGACAAACATAGTCAATTTGTTTTGAATAAAAATATTTTTATTTATTAAAATTATCAATTGTAAATAATTTGAGTTTATGATAGATAATAAATTTTTTTGGTAAACTTTACTTACGTTTTTAATGGTCTGGAAATTTCCCAATTAGCATCTTTATGCTTTTTTTTTTTTTCATAATCTCTAGCGGTAAAGTTTTGTTCCTATAAAGATTATATCTTTAATATAATTTGATAAAACAATTAAAATACCCTTAATTCAAAAAATTTTTGCTTGTTCATACTTAAGCATATTTTCAGAATTTTATTAAGAAAATTGTAATATGCTTTAATTGCTAATGAAGTAAGTTGAAAAAAGAAAAAAAAAGAAAGTTATCTTCCATACGAAACGTTAAAAGGTTTGATGGGTGAAGAAAGAAAAACGTGATGCTCTTGATTGAATGCAGCGCCCAATGTACCGTCATTGGCGTGAATTGCCATTGTTCAAGCTTAGACTATTCCTCTTTTGTTCCCACATTGGACGTCTGGGAACCAAAAAAGGTCTACTCAGTGCCAACGGTCCTTTGGAAGTTTCGTCAACGCTTTCAACGGCTAATAAACGATTTTTTTGGTTTTTTTTTTTTTTTTTTAACTTCAGCAATTCACAACTAATTTTCAATTACAATTTATAATTATTATAGTTTTTCATAGCTCCATTGGAATGGAAAGAATTTCAATGAACAATAGCTACTACTATTGTTTTACTCCACATTTTCCCCCCCACAACCTTTCCCATTGTTTCATTTAGATTTTTAGCTTGTAAGTGAGCAAAAATACAAAGGAATCATAATTTGAATATAAAAAAAATTATAAATAATTTAAATTTATTAAATATTATATTTTAAAATGATTATATAAATCAATTAAATTAATTTTTAATTTTTTTCCTTATAGCTAAAATAAAGTGAAGAAACAAATTTAATGTAGGAATTAAGCAATTTTATTGAGCACAAAAACAATGAAATCAATGTAATTAGGCAAGTAATTTTTTATTGCGAACTTAAATAAATAATTTTAAATAACTTTGAAAATAAAAACTCGCCAACTTTGTACTTTGGTAGTGGATCATCTTTAACTCTGACTTAAGATACTTTAAATGCATTAAGTCCTACTTAATACTTAACAAAGTTATTAAAGTCTTTGATTTTTTGATATAGGAATTAAAAAAATTTTAAGAAATAAATAAGGTGAAAGTTAGAATTACATTATCTCTTATCTTTAATCTAATGAAAAAAAATATTGATATAACTAATTACAATTGGGAGAGCATGTTTTTTAATTGCACAATGCACCTTGGTTTGATCGTCTATAGCATTGATTACAGTTTATTTATGCTAATTAATCTAAATTTATGAATGATTAAGAACTTATATTTCAAAAATTAAAAAAGAAAAAACCTTCATTTGGTATTAAATTTCATGATTATGAAATGAATTATGAAGTTGTGTTAAACAAATTCCTTAAATTTGGTATATCAAGCCTTCTACGTTTCCATATAGATGAATTTCAACATGCAAATTTTGTCACGTGCATTATAATATTATTGATATTTTTTAACTCATTCTAATATTGAGATTTAAAAAAAAATTTGAGAAGAGAGAGATTTAAACTCATTTTGTTGAATATGAGTACATGTTCTTGGAATATTTGGAAGCTACAAAGAGAAAGAATTCTTCATTAACTTTTGTTACTATCTATAATAAACTTTTTTGCTTTAATATCTTTAAAATAATTATAAAAACATATTCTTAATTAGTTATCATTTTCTTTATTTTTCAATTTTAATTCTTTATCTTTTTCTTCTTCAAACAATATAAACAAGAAAAATTATAGTAATGTCAACTCTATTTATGGATAAAGGGCAAGTGATCAATTAATGGTTTAGAAATTATGATCTCTTTATCAAAAACGAAAAAGAAAAATAAATTAATAAAAATCTAATTCATATTTGTTAGGGTGGTGGTGGCATAATTGATAATTCTTTCTCTTATGAATGGCAAACAAGTAACACCGAAATCGAACATGATTCCTCTGCCAGGTTGTCTACGGTTGCTGTTGTGTTGTTTTCTCGCTATAAACAGACAACAAAAGAAACATTACCCCACCCCTCACCCCCACATTCCACTCGTTCGTTTTCACCCTATAGAGTACTACATAAAAAAGGAACAGAGCAAAAACAGAGTAAAGGAAGTCGTAAAAAAAATAACAATGGCGTCTCTTCCTTTCGTCTCCTTCTTCTCTTTCCTTATCATCTCCTCAACATTGACACCCGCCACCGCCAGCAATACCACTTCCACCACCATCAAAATCTCCCTCTCTCCTTTGCCCCACCACCCTTCCTCCGATCTCTACCAAATTCTCAACAACTTAGCCACTTCCTCAGTCGCAAGAGCTCACCACCTCAAACACCCCAACCACCCCAAAGCCAAAGCCAAAGCCAAAGCCAAAGCCAAAACCAACAATAACTCTTCTCTTCTCAAGGCTCCACTTTTTCCTCACAGTTATGGCGGCTACACTATCTCTCTCAGCTTTGGGACTCCGCCTCAAACCCTCACTTTCATCATGGATACTGGCAGCAGCCTCACCTGGTTCCCTTGTACCTCTCGTTATCTCTGTTCCCAATGCTCTTTCCCTTATGTCGACCCATCAAAAATCCCCACTTTTTCCCCAAAACTTTCATCTTCCAAAAAGCTTTTAGGTTGCAAAAACCCCAAATGTAGTTGGCTTTTTGGTCCTGACGTTGAGTCTCGTTGCCAAGACTGTGAACCCACTTCCAAAAACTGTACTCAAACTTGCCCTCCTTACCTAATTCAATATGGTTTAGGTTCCACTGGTGGACTTCTATTAGTAGAAAACCTTGTTTTTCCTCAGAGAACTTTCCAAGATTTCCTTGTCGGATGCTCCATTGTCTCCAACCGACAACCCGCTGGAATAGCCGGATTTGGTCGGAGCCTCGAGTCTTTACCATCCCAATTAGGCCTCAAGAAATTCTCTTACTGCCTAGTTTCTCGCCGGTTCGATGACACAGGTGTCAGCAGCAACATGTTGTTGGAAAGCGGGTCGGGTTCGGGTGATACTAAGACCCCAGGTCTTAGCTACACCCCGTTCTACAAGAACCAAGTTTCCTCAAACACAGTTTTCCAAGATTTCTACTACGTAACTCTACGTAAAATTCTTGTTGGAGATAAGCACGTCAAAGTTCCGTACAGTTTTTTGGTCCCAGGTTCAGACGGTAATGGAGGTACCATTGTGGACTCAGGATCAACATTCACTTTCATGGAGAGACCAGTTTTTGAGCCAGTTTCAAAAGAGTTCGAGAAACAAATGGGAAATTATAGCAGAGCACATGAAGTAGAAAACATATCAGGCTTAGCCCCATGCTTCAATATTTCAGGCCATAAGTCAATTCAAGTCCCGGAATTGATATTCCATTTCAAAGGAGGAGCCAAAATGGCATTGCCTTTGGCTAATTATTTCTCATTGGTCGGTGATGATATGGTTGTTTGTTTGATGGTTGTTACCGATAATTTGGTTGGTCAAGGCGCCCGCGGCGGCCCGTCGATTATACTAGGGAACTTTCAGCAACAGAATTATTACATTGAATTTGATTTGGCAAATGAGAGGTTTGGATTTGCTAAACAAAGCTGCGTATGAGCTGCATTTTGATTTTTTTTTTTCGGCCATGAAGGTGATGGAACGATTACAAAGAGTTGCACTCTCTTTTGCTGTCATTATTAATGAAAAGTTTGATAGATATATTATATTGGGAGATTTAAGAAAAGGGTTACTATTTGATACTATCGTTGATAATAATTTTTATCAGAAATAAAATTACGTTTTTTTTTTTTATGTGAAAAATGTGAGGGAACAAGGAGGAAATGGAATAGTTCAATCAAATTCAAGGCTTTCTAGCTTTCTAGCTGTTAATTGCAATTCCAGGGAGCTTCCTGGCTGTAATTCCTTCCTAAGTAAGCATTCCTTTCTTTTTTCCTTTGTTTTGCCTTTGTTCTCCCTTTTAAAACCTCATCATGTACCTTTTAGGCCTCATGTTCTTTCTTTTTATGATGGGGCACAACCCTCTTTATCATCTAGTCAATGTGGAAGACGATTTCTTTTTATCCTGTGAAATATGAAAATCCTTTCTTCTCATTTGGTTGTAAATGAAAAAAGAAATTTAAATTCCTGCATATGGTTTATCCTGGTATGAAACAAACGTCAGTTCCCCAGCTGATATTGTTTCATTTACTGAACCAACTCAGAGTTTATCTGATTAGTCAGTCTTTCTAACAATAATTAGAAGCTGAAAATTGTCTGCTGCAACAGTAAATTCCAAGGTCCTTCATTCTAATTTCTGACAAGTAACCTACCACTTATTAAACTCTTTTCAGCATAATTTTTCAGTACCTTTATAGTGCTGTAGATAGGCGATAGCCGTGAAGCTTAATTTTGGAAGCAATTCAGTTGGAATATTTTATTGGAACTGTTGGATGGGCATTTGTCAATTTCACATTAAGAATTTTACAAGACAAGTAGCTAGGCGAGAACCATGGAAAGACAGCAAGTCATATCTGCTCAGCACTTGAAAACTTCCTTGCCTGTTGGACAAGAAAATCTTCTGAAATTCTTGCTAAAATGTTATCTACTACATTATTCTGCTTCCTTTCAAGGATTGGTGGATTGACTTTTTCATATTAATGTTACTGCCCTTTTTGCTTGCCCACCTTTCTACAGTACTAGTTCAGTTGTGGGGCTGGAAATTAAAATAGGTTGCCTAGGAAATAAAAATAAAAACCAGGACAAAACCAGCAATAAAAGTAGAACAGCACAAGTTCAATTTTGGGAATGCAGTAGGAGTGTAGGACCACTTATTTGGTAGTATTTCAAAAGGAGTTACAGCCATCCGATTCGCATCTTGCCAACCTATATCTAGCATAATCCAAATTCTACCCATTTCTGCAAAATTTCTTTTCAAATACTATCACATGCCTATATAGTATATACCCTAAGTTTTCAGTTACATTATCAGGTAATGAAAAAAAAAATGCATTGTGAATGAGCTTTCTTCATGCCATTGATTATATCAATATTGGGAGAAATGTTGAGGAAAAAGGGTAGCAGATGCACTCAAAAACAATGTTGAAAGGGACTTTCAGTAAGAAATAAATTGACTTTAAACGAAGGGTAAAGTAATCATGAGGAGAAAAAGAAAAAGGGTGAGAAGATGATGGGAGTAGATCTACCACAACAAGAGAAAGACATTAAAAAGCAGTTGTGAAGATTGGAAATGATGATTGAATAAGAACAAAACAAATGACTTCTGCTGATCACATGATCAGAAACTTTGTACAGCTCTGGCTTTTTTTGGGTTCTTTTCTGGAAGGAATCTATACTCAACCACCATTATTATAGACTCAAAAAATAAGTGTCGGGCCTGAGAGATTGGTGCCTTTACTTTGTATCTAAACTGTTCATTTGGAGAGCAAATTTTAGTGGCGTTTGTTCAGCTTTCTTTTGGTATAGCAGTGCTCATTGCCTGAGTCGATTGCTTTCACAACAATAATGGATCATTTTATGTTTGAAATTTGTGAGCTTTTTTCCCTAATTGTAAGCCGTCTAATTTGTTGCCAAACTTTGGTTTGGGATAAGCATACATTTTTCATCTATACTTTATATACCATATTCAAAATCCCTAATTGAAATGATGTCACGTTAACACCAACTCAATTAGGAAATTGACGAAAAAATTCAAACAAAACCATTATAAAAATTTTAAAAATAATCATTTAATAAAAAACTACCCACTTTTTTTTTTTAATTTTTACATATTAACATCTTTTCAAAACAAATTTTTTCTCCCACATAATGGGTGTGACATATTAATATTTTGTACTTATATCAGTGATACAAATTTGTCGATAATCTTTCAATTTATTGATGTAATTTTATCATTATATTTATAATTTTCGAGTCAATTTATATCATATTGTGCAAAATATTTTATCGGTTGTTATATTTTAACCAAATTTATTTCAAAATTAAAAATACGGAGGTAAATTTATTCCAAAATAATTGAAAGTATAGTTTTAAAATTGTATCATTTGAAAATTAATAATAAATTTAAATCACTCACATAAATAAAATGATAAATTTGTACATTTATCGCTTTGCTTTTAAATAGTTTATTATCAAAGCGTATTATCTTCTATGAATAATATGCTAATCAATTTGAGCACATATTCAATGATTCCCTAATTCAATCATATTGCAATGACTTGTTTTTAGGTGCATGAATTTTGTGTTACATGGTGAAAGCGAATCCTCATAAATGATAATGAAATTTTTGTTTATTTTTTAACGAACAAGGAATTTGAAATTTTGAATATGAAAAAAAAATGTTTTTATGGCAACTATGATATATATTTTTTGGTATTTAATTATTAATTTATGATATAAATTTCACAAAAATAATAAGACATGTCAAAGAGGTACGAGCGAAGACAAATGAAAATATTTTTAAAATTAGAATACAAAACTTAATTTAACTGATTTATTTAATTACTTTTAAAAAGTGATATTTAATAAATTTATGATTTAAATTTCAGTACATATAATATTTTTATCTTAAAATTGTAATTTTTTTATAAAAAAATACTTTTAAAGTTTATTTTGTTATTATTTTGGAATCTATTTCTCTTTTGCTACATTACTCAAAGGTCAATTTGGCAAATTTGGTTTGGTTGAAATTAATTTGTTTTTATTAGTTTTGATTAACATTAACAAATTTCAGATAAAAAATAGTGATTAGTAAGCATATATATATATATATTACTTTTAATAAAATTTTTTCCGTCCTAGGGTGTCTTTTAATCACACCAATTCTTTAGTACTTCTCATTATTCGCAAGCAAAATTTGAAGGTCCAGAAATTTGGTTCAGTAATGAGAATGACAAAGAAACATCTCTTGACATGGCCCAATAGCTTGTAATAGCCCAAAAGTTACTTATCAATGACCAAAAAAAAAAAACAAAGTGTGACACTGTTCCAAGAAGTCAAGGACAGTGTTGAGAATTTCATTTTAATGTTGAATAATATTCTTCAAAAAAAATTATGTTGAATAATATTTTATGTCTATATATATTTAAAATTAATTAATTACATATTAAAATTTATATTGCGTGAATTTTTTGTTAAATTTAATAATCTTATACCTTTTGAATATATTAAAATTTAATTAATTTATATGTAATGCATGCAAATTTTTGTTAAATTTTAACTGTAAAAATTACGTACAAGTCAATATTATTTTGATAAAATAAAATTTTAACCGTAAAAATTATAACTATAAAAAGTTTCCTAAAAAAATAACGAGCAAATCAATATTATTATGATACCAAAGGATTATAATTAAAATTAATACTTTCACTTTTGCATGATTAATGCTAAAATAATAGCTTTATTTAATTTTAAGGTCAGTGTCTATGAGCACTTACTTAGTAAGGTTAGTTAAAATATTATTTAAAATTTTTTTATATTTAATGCTTTAATTGCATTAAGTGTAAATTTTTAAAAATATTATCTTAATTATTATCACTAAACAAAAACTTTTTATTTTGCCATCCACTACACATCTATTAACAATTCCTTTAATTTTATTAAAAAGCGAAATTACATAAAAAATTCGGGGTTAAACGTCGCCGTCCCAGCCTCAAACTACAGCCCTTAAAAAAACTGATACGTTGCTCTAACAGCACGTCGCCTCCTTCAAAATTCTTTTTCATTTTAACTTAATTTTAGTATTATTTTAAGTCGGCGAGAAATTGACGTAATTTCACTCCCAGCAAAAAAGTGAGACAAAACGTTGAATGTTGGTTGCCGCAGCGCAGCATTCACCAAACGGCCATACCAAATAACTAAAACCAAACCAAAGTCTAGTCCCCTTGAGGGCGGACCAAACGAAGCTGAAATTTCATCTTCCATCAATTATTTTTTCTTCTCATTTCCCTCGACGTTCCCTTTCTCTTCTTCTAGGGTTTCTTTCCTCACCCTAACCAGATCTCCCATTCTTCACAATGTGGCGCTCGCTTTGGCGATCCATCGATCGCTTCTCTCTTCAACACTTCAAGTAACTCCTCTTTCTGTTCCTCTCAATCCTTTTATTTCAAATGCTTTATTTGATTATCATTTTTTGTCTTCGATTCAAATTTAAAATGTAATTATATTCTGTTTGATTATAATGTGGCACTGGTTTTTCTTCTTTTGAATTTTGTTAATTGACTTTAATTAGGTTTGATCAGTTCCTTTTGTTACTTGCATTACTTTCTTGTCGCTCAAGGATTCGACATCAATTTTCGTTTTATGATTATTATTCTAACGAAGATTCTTTTTTTTTTTAATCTTATTCTGGATATAGATACGTAATCACTGAATTGCAGCAGATCAGAGTTGTCAATAAGCAGAACAGTGTAACTCACTTGACTTTTAAATAATTTTGTAATATTTTAAGATTATTATTCTATACAATGGCGGTGAAGGTTGAAAACTCCATGAGTAGGTTCATATGTTTGCCACCTATCTTTTTAACTATAAATAAGGAAGTTAAAGTTCCATTACTTTCAAGTTAAGATATCTAGTTAAATTGATATGGGGCTATTAATCCCTCTTGTGGGTCTATATATGAATGTTTTCTTTTCAAACTGACCTGTTTTTCATTTTTTTTCCCTCCTCGTTGTTCACTCTATGCAGGAAGCAGTGATAGATCTACTACAAACCATCGTGGAGATAGTGACATATGGTGACAGACAAGATCCATTAATATTTGAGTATGCACGAAACATCTTTTCATGTATGGTTATGTCTTTCAGTATCTTTGTGATGTAATCTGAGTTTCTTTAATTGTTGCAGATGTTTTATGGAATACCAAGTTTTAGCAGAGTTTGTACGGGTACTAAGGATCAGTACAAGTGCAAAAATTGAGGCACCATTGCTTCAGTATCTAAGCATAATGATCCAAAACTTGGATAGTGAACATGCAATTTGTAAGATGCTTTGTGCCATAGATATGTATGTTAAAACTTCTTGCATGTTTAGGCTTTTCTTTCTTTATTTCTGTTGGCATTTCAGCAGAAATGCTCTTGCCTCTTGGGCTTTTGAGACTGTGATCTCAAACATAAATGTTGACATGCCATGCACAAATAAGTACATTTTAACTTTTTCTGCCTGTTTGTCTTGTCTCTCAAATTCTTTTTATGTTATCCCTTGACTATTGTTCATGCAGCTTCAGTGATGCATACAATTTTATGATGCAGATTATTGTTTAAGCAATGACTATATCAACAACATCATAGCACATCAATATAACTTTGATGCAGGAGATCTTGCTCTTTATTATGTGTCTTTCTTAAGGTTGTTCTTTTTGTTCTTTCTCCTTTAAATTTCTAAAGCATAGCAATGTAGTTTTCATCTATTGAGATTGCCAGTTTACACTGATTGTTTTTTCTTGCTGAAACTATTGCTTTACTTGTTTATCAAAGAGGGAAACAAATTGGAGTATATTTATGATCCTGTTTTTCTGTTAAATCAGAGCAGTGAGCAGCAAAATAAATAGAGACACGCTTTGCCTTCTTGTTAAGGTTCATGGGGTAAGTTAAAGCTCAATAGCTCATTTATGTAAGACATAATTCTAAGTCTTAATATGTTTGTATCCTGTGGTTGATGTAGTTTGGAACAATGTTGTAGTATCATCACACATCTAATTTGTCTTTACTGCCAACATGCAGTTACATGCTCAAACATTTGAAATTTTTGCTTAAGCATGAAACCTTGATTTTGCCAATATTACATGAGGGCTTTCTTTAAATGATGCCTATAGTAAACCTTTATTCCTTTATCTGCCCGCATTTTATGTCTCTGCTGCCTTTAAAAGAGTTGTTGATGTTGACCATGCACAAAGTTATATATTTTGCTCTTCGACAAAGAAGATGAGGATAGAGGATTTTCTTTAAGTTTCTTTCTGATGAAGCTTTTGGTAGGTTGATTAAATTAGCTTCCTTCTCAAGTTTAGGGCATTAAACCAGAAACAAGAAGTTATGGTCTTTGGTTGAGTCCATTGGTTTGGTTGCTATTCACTTGTCAGAGGCACCTGACTTCATCTTCACCACCTACTTGAAGTGCATTTTGTCATTTATGTTGATGACATAGGGAGAGTAGCCCCAAAAAAGAAACAGGATATATGTTTGACAACTTTCTATATAAAGATAATGAATAATGGTGTATTGTGTGCTTGTCTGTGTGTGTTGTTATTCATTTAGGGACTAATATTGTCTGAAGCCACAGGTTAAAATTATTTAGAAGATTTTCTTATTTGCTTGCTTGTGTTTGTGTCTATGTTCTATCTAGATTAGAATGTTTTGTCTTCACCTTTTGTGCATGATGTGCCATTACCCTTGCTTGTGTGAATGAAAAGCTTTTTTCCATAGCTTGACATTTTCTCCCTTAACTTGTATGATTTATCTTCAATTTCCTATATTCTTTTTTATATTGATTAAATTGAGTTTCTTTCTTGTTTTCTCATCTTTTTTTTCCTTTTCTTTTGAACATTGTATCTCCCTTTGTTACTGCAGGATGTGGTCGTCTCATTTCCTTTGTATAGTGAGGCTCTTAAATTTGCTCAACATGGGGAAAAGATGATTCAAACAGCTATACGTGCATTGACTCTCAACATATACAATGGTAATATTCATCTGTTGTCTTCTTTGATAAAAGAGATCCGATGCCTTTACCATGAATTTTTGGTATCTTGAAAAAATGTCTGCTTTATTTTTGAATTTGGTTTCTGCAGTTAGTGATGATATGGTCTATCAATTTGTAACAACTCCTCCAGCCTCGAAGTACTTCTCAGACTTGGTTTCTAGCTTATGGGAGCAATGTCTACATCTAGATGCCCTAGTCCATTCTACGGAGTATGTTGCTTAGAAACTTTGGTAATAAATTCCCTTGTTAATATTTTAGATATTAACTTTTAAGGAAAAATCTACCTTGGGGCAGGGAAAAATGCACTCTTCAAAAGAACAAGGACATATTTCTGGAAACTGATAAAATTATAGACGATCTTTACTACTTCAAGGACATTCTTTCTGTTGGCGAATCTCGTTTACATAGAGTTGTTACCCAAAATCTTCTCAGTTTTCTTATTTTTCCCTTGTTGCTCCCGCTACTGCAGTTAGGAGAGAATAAAGTAAGTTTTCATCCCTGTGATTCTTTTCATGCTTGGTTTTGCGGTTTCAAGGGAAAAATATTTTCTGGTTTACCTTTAACTCTAATTTATGAATGCTTTTTAAAAATGGAGGTATCTGGCTGGTGGTCACTAAATTTTTGAGGGATCCAGGTCTTGCACATTTTACATGATGGGGCTTATATTTTTTTCAAGAATAATATCTAAAGTCTCTTGTGACATTTAAATTCAAGCTAATTGGTTCTTTTAATTTAATGCTTTGATACATATCATTAGATCAATCATTGCTTTTTTTTGGTATCAAGCTTTAAATGGTCAGGTAGTGCTCTGCTGTTATACACAGAATGTAGATGGATTAAAAGGCTGAGAATGTTCATTTTCTTGGACATTTTTCTTAGACTTGTTCATGGACTTATATTGTTTCCTCTTGGTTTTTTTCTCTTCTGTCTACCACCTGCAATTGAGGTTCAAGTGGTAGTCTGGTGGCTGTACCATGGTCTTAGTTCTTGGTTCATACACCATCTTCACTGTTCAACACTTTCTTGAGAAAGTATAATTACAAGAATAAAAAAATGGGAAGGATGTGGGGAGACCCAAATTAAAAGGAAAAAACACTGCTCCAAAGTAGAATTCTGTTGGTGGAAATGCAAAATTGTTTCTATACACATGTATGTTAGCTATGTTAATGTTATTGATATTTGAAATCTGTAATTTTGAGTTTTCTTTGCATGAAACATTCATTCGTCAACTTATTTTTTTTTCAGGGTAGCCACAACATCTCAGCAGTCACTTCTCTGTACATAGTTTCTCGTCTTCTTCAAGTTGTTGGTGGAAAACACTTGATTAATGCAGTGGCCGGTCTTCTTCTGTATCATTATATTACATTAAGTGAGAGAGATGCTACCAATGGAGATAGAACTGGTATCTCAGCTAATGCAAGTGCTCTTCTCCGCTCATTGAATGATATAAATATCAAGGTATGTTCTGGTTCTGAGGCTGAAGGAGCAGAAGACATCAACATAAACAGTCTACTTGAACATTTAGACGAGCATATATCCTCAAATTCTCATTTTGATGGCAGCCCTAAGGATGATAATATGTGTATAGAGAGGTTGGTATTCTTCCTATTCTGATGTAATATTTGATCTTGGCAAATATTAATCAACTCTTTATTTTCATAAAGAAGTTGTGATAAAGTCTTTAATTGTGGTTTTATTTCCTTTTTCAAGATCGAACACTGAGATTAGTGATATATGTTTTAGGCCTAGTGGAAATATGTTGTTTCCATCACTAAGGAGATTTTTTTCCAACTAAATATTATGTGTTATAACTTGGAAGTGTACATCACCATTATGGAGCACATCTACTAATTCAGGAGGCTTAGGTGGTGCTGAAAAGAGTGGTTAACTCCTAAATTGTATCTTATCTTTGTTTTAAGTTTTCATCATATTCTTCTATCTCTTCTAGAATTGTGACCACTGCTTTCGTGGCCTTAGCTATATATTTTTTTCCCATCTGTTATCTTAACATTTGACCATTACCTGGGAAATAGAAACACAGAGCTATTTAGGTTCCTCTCATATATGGATAGATAAGGAAAACAGCTATAAATGATAGGAACACGGTTGATCTGCAGCATCTCTATACGTACTTACTTTATCTTGTTATGGTTGCAAGGATTGCTTTGAATTATAATTTGAATTGATGCTTTGAAGTTGTTGGTGCAGGATTGGGATTTTTGCATATTTATTTTCAGACAATGACAGTTTATCATTAGCATCTCTATTTTTACTAGTTACTCTAGCAGAAAATAAAGGTATATTATATTTTCGTCTTTCAGTTGTTTTTATCACAGTTTCTTTTTGGTATATATTAGACATAAATCCTTGGAAAAATTTTTATATTTATGTATTTCCTTGCTCTTCTTTTTTCGAAAGGGAAAATTATAATTTTAGCTTATTGTATAGATTTGGAGCATTTTCCTGCATCAGTGATTGGAATAAGCCAAAGTCAGGACTTGATGGTAAGAATGGATCTCATGTATGTCTGAATGGATTTCTTTTGGTGAAAGTTTATATTTGATCAAGGTTACCTAGCAACCATTGGGATGGAATGACCGCCTGTTCTTGCTTCAGTATCATGTTATTCCTTCTTTCTATTTTCATTGGTGTCAAGGGTATGGAATTACTTTTGCTGATGCAAATTACTGTTGCCTTACTAGAGGGAACATATTACCTGGTTACTTTTCTTTCATCTAATTATTTATCTGGATCGTGGTGTCCAACTTATTGGTTAAACTTGATTCAATAAGGATGTTTTAAAGACAACTAATACTTAAAGTTTGATACTGTGGTTGGTTAAGAAAACTAACTTCTATTATACCTAGTTTGATACTGTGGTTGGTTAACCTCTATCTTCTTTTAATCCTACCAGGCCAGCATCTTAGCAATCCGAACTTTTCCACTGTCCTAGATGTCCACAATAGTTTCACATGAGTGTTATAATAATCTGTCTATAAGAATCATAAAATGTTGTCAAGTTTCTGAAATTCTGTTTTAAGGAATGGTTTTGGTCATGTAAAAATTCTTCATTTTCTGATTTAAAAAGTTAGTGGATCAATACATTTCACCCTTCAGAATCTCCATGCAGTGCATGGATGCATTGTAAGATAAGATTCTCACTCAAACTGATGCAATATTTAAAATCTAAGTTATTACTTGTAGGTTTTCTCTCGAACTTCTTATGTAGTAGTTGGTTCTGATTCACATTTTCAAACAAACAAAATGGTTGGTAGCTAAGTGATACACTGCTGATGTTCAAGTCTGGAGTCACTCAGAATTATACTGTTTTTGTCCTGGGACAATCTTTTTTTTTTTGGCTGTGCAAGTCTATCTTCACTTCAATATCATCTTATTGCTTATTTAATGCATAAATTATTTCAAGAATGCTAATAATTTTAAGTATGTGGAAAAGGGTTATCTAGTTACCATTAGCATCCAAATATGATGTCACTAGAAAGTTTTTTCTTAGCCAATGATATTTTGCAGTTCTTTAACTGTTATCTGAGACCACCAGTTTACTTGCTCCAGAAAAACCATGACTCAGCTTTTCCAACAGTGGATGGAAGTATTCTTGTGAGACTTATGCCTCAGGTAGTGTGTTAACTGGGCACTGTTATTTTTCTTCCCCTTTCCACTCTACATTCATTATTAATGGTATTAATCATTTAATTGTTGTTTTCACTGGACAGTGTCTGGAATTTTGATGCTTTGTTTCATGGTTTTGTCAACTTTTCAGTATTATATAATTTCTCTCTCTATTCTTTTCTTTCTTTTTAAAATAGATTATCAAGGCATTATTGAAGGTTTTAGCAAGCCAACCACCAGTTTCCCCACCAAGACAGTGGCATACTGGGTGGTTTTTGCGAAAGCTACTGCAATGTCAAGGAAATATGCTCACCGATGAACATATCCACCTATTCAATGTAAGCATCCTACTGATTTGTTGTGCTTGCTTTAAATTAATTATGCCAATGGAAATATTGCTGCTTCCGACATTTTCATTTTGAACAAAATGGATGATATTTCCTGTTCATGCATGGTGGGTAAGCTGAAACCAGTTGCCTCTGTTACTTAGTTTTAGCTGGTGTTATTACAATTATAAACCATCATTAGCAGGTTAGATTTCTCTAAAATTTCATTTAATTATGCAAAAATTTTCTAAAGTTTTATATTTTCTAGTTATTATCGACAGACTTCGTATGAGCAGTCCCATGAATGTCTTCAAAAAGAACTTGATGGATGTTGGTTTGATCATATCCCTGATACTATAAGACATGAGTGGGGAAGCTGTAAAAAAGGTATCAATTACAGTAATTTAATTCCTGTTTGAATTTTATCTTCTTAAACAGAAGGTGAAAGATTTGCAAGATGTGGGTTTGGATGGACACGGTGAAAACACATCGTATTTCTTCTTCAAAATAGGAATCATTTAAAATTGATAATATCTACTGTTATTTCATACAGCTCTCGAGGAACAATCCCAAGCTAAAGATCCCTTATTTGCACTGGAGCTTGCAATCTGCCAGCAACCCATGGATGGTATTGAGCCCTTCCCCTCTTCTCTTTTCTTTTTATGCATCAATGCACGTGGAATGTGTGTCTAACTCTCCTGTTATGCTTAAGAAAGTTTTTGCACCTTTTACTTCATGACATTTATATTATACATTTCAGGCAGTGTGAGTTCTTATTTTGCTTGGCAGAGGATGGTTGATGCAGTAAAGGTTTGTTATCACTCCATATATATAGTTTGATTTATTTATATTTATTTAGTGGTTCATGCATTGTGTTCTCAGCCTTATTAGGGTTTCTAACTATTGAGTTGGCTGTTGCCAATATTGTACATGCACACAATGAATTAATAACTGAAGGAAATGAAGTTGGTGTTTATGCTCAAAATGGTGCTTAAATACAAGACATGCGGCAATCAGAATGTGTGGTGCATGTATAGAATTGAAAATTACTGCTTTGAGTGGCTACATGACTGAAATATTCCAGTCTCATTGGTTTTGTTACAAGCATTTTGACTTTCATTTATTCTGTTATGTGTTCTGAGATATGATTTGACTTTTGTTTCATTTCATTAATAATTAGTCTCCATTGAAAGCATTACTACTGTATGTGTTACCTATACATTTACTGCAAGTTTGCCTTTTGAGCGCTCACTATTGTTTTTCCCACAAAAGATCTCACAGAACTTAATAAATGTAGGTTTTCATTCTCCATCTTCAGCTCAAGGCATTTTTTTTCATGGGAGTTTTACTTGAAAAACCTTCACTGAAGTCATGGAGTAACAGTGATTCTGGAAAAACTTATCGTACAGATATTTCATCTGCCAGCTTTGGGTCAGAAGTCTCTTTAGGTTGGATATCATTCAAGTAAATGTTTAGTCGACCATCCAAAATATCTTCTGAGACCATGTATCCTCATTCTTCCTATATTGAACTTCTGTAGGATCAGGAATCCCTTGTAGGATTGCTTTTTCATATGCTGGAGTCAGGGATATTTACCTAATAGCAGTGGCAAGAGGAATTTCTGGAAAATTGATTCTTGTAGAGAAGCATCCTTTCCGGAGTCAACGAGGAACTGTAATTGCCATCGCTCCACTGGCAGGGTTAAGTGTGAGTCAGGATGTTGCTGATTTGTTGTTTTCTTTTCCAATAGCTGTGATTCTAAGGAGGACTTTAAAGATATGTTTTGGTGTTGGTATGACCATTTAGGGACGTTCTTTTCTAATCAAAATTACAAACATAATCAACAAATAAAACGTGCTTCTCTTGGTTGGCTTCTAAAATTTTCTAATCTGCCTCTTAACTTTCTGCTGTCTATTGGGTGCAATCCAGCATCTCTGATCAATTATTCATCGAAAAGTTGGTAATTGATTCGTTTAGATACTCGAAGCTTGAAATAATTGATTCTCTTATTAATTTATAGTTTTCCTGTTCGGTTGAAACAGCCCAAGATAGATGAAGACCACCCAACATGGTTACATCTCCGGATAAGAGAATTTGATTCAAAATTCATTACAGCTAGTGCCAAGCAATCAACTGTTTCCAATCCTGCCACTGACGGGAGATGGACACTTGGTTTTCCTAGTGCAAAGGCTTGTGAGACTGCTCACTTATTGATTCTTGAAGAAGTTTGTAAGCAGAGGTCCTTTGTTGAGAGCATACTTGCTCCGCTGCTTCAGGATGATTATCTAGGAAATATGTCGGATAGCCAAGGCGATTAAAGCTCCAGCCTGAGTTCTAGGTTTGCTTACTAACTAAAAAGATTGTCTTAGTTTTCTTTTGAGGGGGGTTGGTTCACTGAAGAATTCTGTATGCTGATGTAGACACGACAGTTTTGCAAGCGAATAGGTGCTTATTATAGTTCTTTTATGTAATTCACATGTAACTAAATTAAGGGCATTGTTATATCGTTCTTTAGGCATTATTCTGTTGTCAGTCTGTAAAAGTATGTTGTCGACATGTTTTGTGAAATATGTTGTCATAAATAAAAATTTCAGTCTAGTGTAAGTTCATCTCTTTTCCATCTTATATAATTATTTTTGATGTATGCTCTAATACATTATGTATGTGGCCTATTTTTCATTGACATTAGGACACGCGTATGATCAAATGTTGTACATTTGGTTTTGTAACTTTATGATCATGTGCAGCCTTTTTCTTGTGGTTCACAAGCATCTCATGTAAAAATCCATTTGCAGTCTTATCATCTTCTGGAGTGCAACTATCGTACCCCTGCCCTCCTGTCTGCAGTTTGCACGTGCACGGTGCGTCAAATTCTCTCTATACCTCCTTATCCTTTCTTTGCATTTCCAGCTCTGCATGACATCAAAAGATGCATTAGTCGAAATCGAACTGTGTAAATCTTCTGTTCATATTTCTAGTTTCACCATTTACCAGAAGTCTTAAAAGTTTCTGGCAGTTCTTTCTAATGAAGTTTAATCAGGATAAATGTTTAAGAACTATCACATAGTTGTAACTCATTTAGCCAATAGGACATTTATTTGAGACTATATAATCATGGCACTCGTATTTTTTCTTAGTGATCCTTTAGAAAGGTTCAATTAAGAAAAAGGTGAACCTAACAGAAATAGTGAAGATATATACATAGATGATTAACTTGTATCAGCAACACCATGAATCTAGAATATATGCAGGGGGGAGGGGAATGTCCATCCGTTGTACGAGATTTTATCTTAATGTTCATTTCAGGCTAAAGACACAAGAAATTCCATATGCACATCAAAGAGAAGCAGGAATTTGTTCAATTCATGCTCCTAATTGGTGTGGAGAATAAGAACTAAAGTAAAATCAATTCGGGGTATTTGAAGCTTGATAAAAATTTATCAAATGTTTAATTTAATTAGTTTAAACATCTATTTTTAAGTTTAAAATTTAAATCTTAATATTTATAATTTTTTTTTATATCCAAGTTACGATATCTTTTGTAATAAAAAATTTCGATGAAAATAATGCAAGGGTTTAATATTTAGCTGCATTTTGATGGAGATACTGAATGATCATAAAATAATGGGAACTTTTTAGAAAAGGAGTGTGTGGTACGTAATTCCATCACCTTTTACATTAACAAGGCTGTCATGTCAAAATTAGAGCAACTTTTTTCCCCAATGTTACAACCTTTAAAAGTCTGGGCGGCCACTCAAAAATACTATTAACAATTCCCTTTCTCTTTTAGAGGGTTTTGTTCCCCCTCTTGGATATTGCTTTCGTCCACATGGCCACGTATAGACCAAAAGATGCTTATTTGAAGCTTAAAAGCATAAAAATGAGCGGTCCTTTTGAGTAGATAATGCCATATTTTACTTTTAATATTGCTTTTGTGAGAGAGTGCTTTACTTTAAGCAAAAGAAGAAAAGAAAATATAATTTCTATACATTGTATTATGTACGCAACTACGCAAGGATCTCCAATCCAATGTGTTCACTTGAAAAAAATTAAAGGATTTGATAGGGAAAGAATAGAAAAGATTACCCTATGCCTTTCACTTTGACGCCCATATCTTTTAGTCTTCCAAACAAACAGAGATTAGCTATAACCGTTATAGCTGGGGTATGGCCTTAGCAACTGCATATATTCCCTTCTCTCTTTCATTCAAACACTCCTTTTCTAGCATTTCAGAATTGCTTTACATTCAAATAATTTGGTGCCTCCTTTGTATGTCTTTTTAGGCTATAGAGAAGCTTTTTGACTAAGGGGGAGGGGAGGGGGGACTGAGAAAATGCTCACTGGGGAAAGAATTAACAGTTGAGAGTTTTGGATTATTTGTTGTAAGGAACTCTTTGGGTCCTACTTCTCTATCAATCCTATTCCTTCGTGTGCATCACTCACATACAAAACAACTAAATGCATCATCACTGATGTAGGACAGTAGAAAGAACTAATGCATTTAATGTTAATAATGTACATATGTTTATTGTATTTTAGTGCTAAGATTGATTTTGGGAGTTTTTTTTTTTTTTTGTAAAATGATATTGCAATGTTATAAGCTAGAAGTATAGCTAAGGGTTTTTCAATATCAACAAATTCATCGTGGTATATGGTGATTAATACATAAATGCTATGTTTGTTGGACTCATGGTGAGTGTTAGATATAAATATGTGTTCAAATCAAATATGAATTTGTTCAATTAAAAAAAAAACTATTCTTATATTGGGAAAGTCAAACTTTTATAATTGTCTCTAGAAAGGATAAATTTTATATAAAATTTTTAAGTGAAATTTGTTAATTTTTTAAAAATGATTTAATAAAAAATCTAAACTGATAGATTGATAAAATTTGTGAAGATCATTAATATATAAAAAATATTAAAAATGATATTTATAATTTAAATTTGATTGATACTTATTCGACAGTAAGATTTAATTTTATCAACAGTTTACTAAAATTATCTATTTAAAAATTATTTAAAAATTTATTAAAATTTTTTCAAATTTTATACATTTAATTTATATAATGAGATCTTTCAATTTATCAATTTTAATTTTTATTTACTCATTTTTAGTTAAAAATTTCACGAACTTTCACTTAAGAAAAAACTTCATCAAATCTTTCCCTTGAAGGAAATATACTTGAATACGAATACTTTTAAAAAATAAGAGTTTGAATAAACATAAGACAAATTTATGTATTTACGTACACACTCAACAACTTGGAGAATATTATAGTATTCTATACATATATTGATATTAATAAATGTAACAAGATCCTGAAGAATGAATATATATCTCAGCAAATACATGACTAAAACCATACTAGTTGTTTGCATAGGATTTTAAACAATAAAACTAGCTTGCAAAATGTATACAAGCATCCTAGAGAGAAACCATATATAATTAATAAGGCAAACAATATTCTAAACCATGGTAAAGACAAACCTCTGTCCTATCATATCATATCATATCATGTCAACTCATTTGAAATGCTAACACCTTCTTGGGCTTCCAATATAAAGAACATTCTTCTAGTTTTTTGGGTTAGGATGCTGTTCTCTATAGGCAGCTGTGAAGTTGTCACCAGCTTTCTGTCATAGCTACCATGTGAGATGTGACCATGAAGCTAGTATCTGTTTGTTATAGTGATCAGTTCTATGATTGTTGAATTATTCTCCATGTCTTTCTTTTTTTTATTTTTTTAATCTTTTCTATTGAGCTTGCTTTCTTTCTTTCTTAAATGAATGTTTTTTCAGGGAGACATGATTGTTTTGAGACTGAAAGTATTAACGGTAAGCATGGGTTTAATTAGCAAAGAGTTGGTTTGAATTAAAAAAAAAAAAAAGCGAGTAAAAGCTAGAAATAGATGATTGAAGAATGAAAGGGAGATCTCTCGTTTGTTGTGTAAGGAAAATATGCCTTGACAGTCAGTTTATACTTACAGTATGAGAATTCCTAGATTTATATAGTGGTGTTGGTGTAGCTCTCCTTTCTATGTAATGGCACGCAGAGGAATAAGAGCAGTGAGTTAGAGATGGGCCACAACAAAGCTAAAACACCCACAACAATTTATATTGTGCTGGCAGAAGAATTTATGACCCTCAATGATTTTGAAGTTTTTTTGAACCTACGTTAAAAACGCCTAAAGTTTTTTTTTTTTTTTTAATTATATGGATTAGAGTGTATTCTCGTATTAGAAGAGTTACGTTTGAATTTCTTTCCCTAAGATTAAAATATATATATATATATATATTAAATTGTTCAAAATAATGAAGATACGTTTGTCCATTAAAGGATATAAAAGCTTTGTTGACTGGAACATGCATGTGAAACATGTTCCAATTCCAAGCGAGTTTTTTTTTTTTTTTTGAGTGGTTTGCATATATTCTTTGGTGGAGTATAATAATAGTGACGAAGATTGAAGAATATGCGCCGCTGTTCTTGACTGTCATTTTTTTTTTGTCATTACATCAATCCATGGCAAATGAACCTCAATATAAATGTTTGTAGAAGAAGATGCATTCGTAAGGTTTCCTTATTCATAGTATCTATCGAATTATTTGCTACAATATAATTACAAGGCGTCTGTCATTTTTCAAACACACACATGGTTTTGTGCCTTTGTGTATGGCTTTTCACTAATTTCTCGATTAAAGATATTTGATCATATTAAGTTAAAAATAAAAATTTGAGTTTCTATTTGATGCATTATCATTATATAAAATTTATATATTATCAATTAATTAATAATTCATTAATGAGATAAATCAAATGATAATATTTTAATGAATTATCATCATGAAATTTATAAACTGATAATATATTAAATATAAACTTTAAAAAATTTACCATGTTAATAATGCATGTTTTCCCTTGAAAAAGAAATAATTTTAATTGTGTGGTTACATTAAAGAAAATACATATCTTCCCCTAAAAAAAACCTTATGGACTAACAAACTTTCAGAAATCCCATGATATCTATCACCCCAAAAAAAACCCTCACAACATTTTTTCCCTTTCTAAATTCAAGTAAAATCGTATTCTACATTTGTCGAAGAGTCCATGTCATATGATTACGCATTGGTCGCGGAGTTTAATTTTTAAAATATTTCATAAGTGAAGTTAGAAAGTTGACATTTTTTAATAATTAATTAAATTGTTAATTTTTATGAATATAATTTTACCAGACATTTGTTAATCCTCTAATGATCTCATTAGTGAAATCTAAAACTTCTTTGTTAATATAAATAAATCCTTATCCTAATTGCCGTGTTAAAAAGAAACCAGACCCATATCAAACAATGCACATATAGACTCTGGAAGTTCGTTACCGTATGTTTGTCCCTTAATTTTTCTTTTTCATTTTCTTTTTTTCTTGTGAATCAAAGGGAGGGTCCAAAAGCTCCAACTTTATGAAATAATGAAGAGAGAGAGAGAGAGAGAGAGAATGGGGGAAGAATGTTTTGGGTTTTGGGGTTGGGGAGTTGTTAATAATCCCCATGCAAAACATACAGTATATGCATTTAAAGAGCGTCAAGTTCTGTTGTAAGTAATTTACTTTCTACGAGAAAAAAGGAAAACCAAACGCTTTATTCCATGTCCGGAAGAAAATCGTACACAGTTCCCGATTTCTTTACACACATATATAGTCCCCATTCTCTTTTCAGGTCCTCGGGTTTGGCAGATTGAGTTGGTGGAAAACTACCTTTTTTTTTTTTTTTTTCACCTCAGTTTGAGCTTTGCCAGAGCCTCCATTTTCCTACACTAAAAGTCCACATTTGCCCATGCTTTTTATGCTGAATAATTTTATTACGGGGGTTTATTTCGTCTTTTCACATTAAGGTATTGGTCAATTCCTCCACCATGAATTTACTTATAGTATGTATGAATGTTTTAATTGTAAAATTAATCGTTTTCTGAAGATATTAGTTTATCCTTAGTATACCACCGTGTAATTGCTTTCATGCGGCTAAAAATTAGTCTGATTGAGCTATGTTTTTACTGAAAAAAGTGCTAGCATTGAGTAGGCCTCAAGGTTAATTACAAATGAAAATGATCGAGCCAAAATTTTGTTTGTGTGCACTTCGAGATTAAGAGCTCATTTCGAACAATGATTAGTTCTGATACGACGTGATTAGTGCCTCTAATCGTGTCATACATGTGTTTGGCTAACAAAAGCAGCACAGTAGAGAGGATTTTAAACGTGCAGGACCTTCAATGACTGATGCCTTATTGGTCCACTTAGTAAACACACCATTCTTTTTTTTTTACTTTTTAATCCTTACAATTGTATTATAAAAAAAAAACTATTCTTATATTTCAACATTTTTTTATCATTTAAAATAATTTTGTTAATGTTTATATCAACGCATAATTTTATTAATTTAATATAATAAAAAGATTGTCTAATATATTACTATTTTTATTAAGTTTTAATTATTTAGTAACAAAGTATTACTTGACATAAAATAATTTTTTAATTTTATAAGCATTAAATATTTAAAATTTTTATTACATATAATTTATAATTTAACATCTTTAATAATAATTTTTTTTCTTATTACTATTCATCTCACGTTTATTATTGTATTTACATCCAAATATATATCTCATCATTTATTTTAATTTTATCACTCCAATAATTAATCTCACTTCAACCATAATTTTTAATCTCACATTATCAATCTTGTCACCCATCTAAATAGAATCTTAAGAGTCTTTTGTTAATTTTTAGATTAAATTTACCAAATATTCTTTTTTTATTTTATTAATTACTATAAATATTTTGCATGAAAGAGAGAGACCCACTTAGCAGTACCATATCTTCTATCAAAATTGATACAGATTAAAAAATTATTAGTTCAATAGTATTGAAATCAATTCTAAAATTAAAAGTCTCAGTTTGAAAATCATTAATAAACCCATATAGTAGAAATGAAAGAGAGAGAAAGAGCAAAGCTGAGTTGCCTTTGATACTGCTGTATCCGTCCTGCTTGTCAGCACATGCATTCCACTTTCCACTACAAAATCGACTTTGGACCCCAAAATTTTACCTCATCTACAAGAAAAGCATAGCCTACCCTCTCATATATTTCTTTCTGTATCTCTTCCCCCACGACCAAATCTTAATCTTAGACTAGATCAGATAAACTGAAGCTCCCACCCTTCAACCAGTACTTCCAAAATCCAAATAGACTAGATATTGTTACTGCTGCCCAAACTCCTAGCAATTCAAGACACTAAAACCCCATCTGAATGATGATTTTTCTCTTTCTTTCATCCAAGCAGCAGCAGCATCCATGAAGCCTAAACTTCTAGTCCAACTTCCTTGATCTGCTAATCATTGTTTTGAGTGTCCTTTTCTCTACATCCTTTTGTAGAAAAATAGGTTTTGAGAGAGACAATATGAGAGCAGGAGGTTGTACAGTGCAACAAGCTCTAACAACTGAGGCTGCTAATGTCGTGAAGCAAGCTGTAACTCTTGCTAGGCGTCGTGGCCATGCCCAAGTGACTCCTCTCCATGTAGCTAACACCATGCTTTCTGCTTCTACAGGCCTGCTCCGCACAGCTTGCATTCAATCCCACTCTCACCCCCTTCAGTGCAGAGCTTTAGAGCTTTGTTTCAATGTTGCCCTTAATCGCCTTCCTGCTTCATCTTCCAGTCCCATGTTGGGAGGTCATTCCCAATACCCTTCCATCTCTAATGCCTTGGTTGCAGCTTTCAAGCGTGCTCAGGCTCACCAAAGGCGTGGCTCCATTGAAAACCAGCAACAGCCACTCTTAGCAGTAAAAATAGAGCTAGAGCAGCTTATAATATCCATTTTAGATGATCCTAGTGTAAGTAGAGTCATGAGAGAAGCTGGTTTTTCTAGTACACAAGTGAAAAGCAACGTCGAACAAGCTGTTTCCTTAGAAATCTGTTCTCAAAACGCTCCTCCAGTAAACAGTAAATCTAAGGATAGTAATGGTAATTTAATCCTCTCTCAATCTCCTACTGTCGCTCAAGTTGGAAGTAAAGTAGGGAAACCAATAGGATCAGATCCGATAATAAGGAATGAAGATGTCATGTTTGTGATAGAGAATTTGATGAACAAAAAGAGTAGAAATTTTGTGGTGGTAGGAGAGTGTATTTCTAGTATTGAGGGTGTAGTTAGAGCAGTGATTGACAAAGTTGACAAGGGAGATGTTCCTGAGTCTTTGAGAGATGTCAAGTTTGTAAACCTTTCTTTCACTTCTTTTGGGCATCTAAACCGAGTTGAGGTTGAGCAAAAACTTGAAGAGCTAAAGAGCCATGTCAGGAATTCTTTAGGAAGAGGGATTGTTTTCAATTTGGGAGATCTCAAATGGGCTATTGAGTATAGGGCAAGTTCAAGTGAGCAAAGTAGGGGCTATTACTGTCCGGTGGAGCATATGATCATGGAGCTAGAGAAATTGGTCTGTAATATTGGAGAGACTGGAAGGTTTAGGCTCATGGGGATTGCCACTTTCCAAACTTACATGAGATGCAAATCTGGCCATCCATCACTGGAAACTGTTTGGGGTTTGCATCCTCTAACAATTCCTGCAGGCAGCTTACGCTTGAGTCTCATCACTGACAGGTAAAGTAGCTTGCATAAAGGTTTTTGAAATATTTATACTACTAATCATCATGGCTTTATTTTTAGTTTTTGATTCTCATGTTTCATAAGAATCAACTAAATTGATCCTGAAAACCATGGATTCTCTTTTCCTCTTTGAGAAATGAGAGATTAAATCATGTTTCCTCACCCTCCTTTTCTTAAACAAATGTCTAAGTAGTTATTCTTTGCTTCATTTAATTTCTTTAGGAAGATAATCGTAATTGAAGATTGAAGACAGTAAATAATAGTCTCTTTGTCCTTAAAAGAAGCAAAAAAAAGACAAGGAAGAGGGGGAAAGGGTGAGGTTGAGGAAAGGAGGCTTCTGTATATCGAATATACTTATTCTCCTTCACGTTAATTACAGTTCCCAAAAATCTTCATGGATTGGAGTTTCCAAATTTCAATAGCGTAAATATTGTATATTTATCAAGTTCGTTGTACCTTTTTTTTAAAATCCTTTCAGTGATCTACAAAGCCAGTCCACAAGCAAGAAAGCTGAAAACGGGTTAAGCTGGATTTTGCTAGATGGTGGAGAGGATAAGCAACTGACTTGCTGTGCTGATTGCTCCGCCAAGTTTGAAAATGAAGTTCAGAGCTTACAAAGCAGTACTTGTAACAGTGAGTCCACCACGTCAAGTCTTCCTCCATGGTTTCAACCATACAAGGATGACAACAAAGGGCTTGGCAGCAATTATAAGGTTATTATCACATTTCCCATTTATCCCTCTGCCTCTTAAATTTTTGTGTCCAACCATATACAAGTTGAAAGCTAACTTTTCTTTTGCAACTTGTTTTCGTTTTCCCTTTCTACCAGGACTCTGCCTCAGTCAGAGAACTTTGCAAAAAGTGGAACTCATTTTGCAATTCAGTCCATAAACAACCATATTCATCTGAAAAAACCCATACATTAATCTCTTCTGTTTCACCTCCTTCATCTACTTCTTGCTTTTCACATGACCAGCAATACCCTCATTTGCACCAGCAGCCCCACCAGTATGACTGGCCTGTGGTTGAACATAGACAGTCTTGGAGAGACCACCATTTTTGGATTTCTGAAACAGTTGACAAGACTGTTGAACCCACCAGTTTGAGATTATATATTCCAGAACATAATAATAAGGAACCTAAACAACTATTATCGTCAAACCCTAATTCCACCCCTAACTCAGTAACTTCCAGTGATGTGATGGAGATGGAATATGTTCACAAGTTCAAGGAGCTAAATGCCGAGAACTTAACCACCCTATGCACTGCATTGGAAAAGAAGGTACCATGGCAAAAAGATATAATTCCGGAGATCGTGAGCACAATCTTAAAATGCAGGTCTGGAATGTTAAGAAGAAAAGGGAAGTTGAGAGATGGCGAGTCTAAAGAAGAAACTTGGTTGTTTTTCCAAGGTGTTGACATTCAAGCTAAAGAGAAGATAGCAAAAGAACTGGCTAGGCTTGTTTTTGGTTCACAGACCAACTTCATTACGATTGCATTAAGCAGTTTCTCGTCTACAAGAGCAGATTCAGTTGAAGATAGTCGAAACAAGAGATCAAGAGATGAACAAAGTTGCAGTTACATTGAGAGATTTGCTGAAGCTGTTTCGAGTAACCCACATCGAGTGTTCTTTATTGAAGATGTTGAGCAAGCTGATTATTGCTCTCAAATGGGTTTCAAAAGAGCTATTGAAAGAGGAAGAATAGCCAATGCAAATGGAGTAGAAGCTCCTCTAAGCGATGCTATCATCATTTTGAGCTGTGAAAGCTTCAGCTCGAGATCAAGAGCTTGCTCTCCTCCCACCAAGCAAAAATCGGATGGTTCTGAGGAAGAAAAAGTTACTGCATTGGAGGAGACAAGTCCTTGCGTGTCATTGGATTTGAATATCTCCATTGACGATGATAGTCTCGAGGAACAATCAATCGACGACATTGGCCTTCTTGAATCCGTTGACAGGAGGATTGTTTTCAAAATTCAGGAAGTATAAAAAAAAAAAATTTGTGTGAACCCTTCAGGTGGTTTTTAAAAAAAAAGAAAAAAAACTTTTGTGAAATTCTCTTTGTTCAAATTGTCTTTAGATTCTTAGCATTTCCTAGGGCTGTAATAGTTGAAGAAGAATTTCCCTGTTTTTGTAAAAAAATGTGTACATTATATTCCACTATTATCTTTCTATTAATAGGTTGATGGTTTCCCTCATATTTTTCCCTTTTTTTCCTTAGATGCGAATCTTTGAATTGAAACTTCAATATCATTTTCATTAAATTGAGAAATGTTCAATACCATTCATAATTTTCCATCTTTTCTAATTACTATTAGTTATTAATTAATTTGAGAGTACATATCTCTAAGACTAAAATACTTAGCTACCATAATAATATGATATATATATATATATATCGTCCTTAATATTGCTTGGTAAATGAAAAAAAGAAAAAATAAAAATGCAGAGATCATAATATCTTAATATGTACGAATGTCATCTTACCTTAAAGTAATTTATGGGTATAATAATTTTTAATAAGAGATGTTCCAATTGTTAAAGACATTTGAGGTTAGCCATATTTGAGGTAGGGAAGATAAATATATCATGCTAATAACATCTTGCGTGTCAATGGCAAAACGCGAAAGTTCCATTGCGGGAAAGAACTTGGAATTACGACCACTAGCTCGACATAAAGGAGTGCCTTTTTTTTTTAACTGTCTTTTGATCCTTTTGAACAATAAAGGTGTAAAATATATTATTCAAACAACCACAATCTCTGCATCTGTTGTAATTTATTACTATTGTTTATCAAATAGCCTTCTTCCACAGTTGCAACTCATTCCATCATATATGTAATTTGGGCAATCACATAGTTCGTAGGCAATCTACCATTGCACCTTTTTCCTTGTAAATCTTCTTTGGGCTTTTGGAAGTGGGTCCTATTTCTTTGTTTTCTTCTTGAATTATTCAACCAATGGACTCCATGACGATCGTATTTTGAAACACATATTGGATGCTTTCAAGTAGGATATATGTATATCTTTAAAAAAAAAAAAAACTCCTGAGTGATAAGAATCATTTCCATTTCCCTCCAAAAGTAAAGGAGTTAAGAGTATTTGAAAAGGTCGATTTGATTTCTTCAAAAAGGAAAAAAAAATGTTATTACAAATTCTACAAAATGTATAAAACCCAAATAAATATCGAGCATCGAACTTCGCTATGTAAAAATTTACTTTTTATGTTAAATTTCAACTTCAATAATATATTCTTATCACTCATCTACATTTAGCAGAGAATATTAAAGTAGTAGTGATAATTGTGATTTTTTTTTTTAACATCAGTCAATGTCAAGATATCAATATCTCAATGCCTATCAAATGTCAGTATCTATAAGTTTTCCTTTTCGTGTCCAACTTAATGGGATGATGCTGGTCAACTTCCATGGAGAAAGGGCCTATTATATTAATTTAAGGGTCCATTGCTTAATGTCTAAGATATTGAGTCAACATCTTAAATTTTCTTTTAAAACGTAATTAATTTTTTAGGCTAAAGTTCTAGTCTAATCTTAACTGAAATAAGGCTTCATATAAGTGGATCGAAGTCTTTGGGACATTGAAATTGGCTGCATTGGGATACTGCTTTTTGGTCTAATAATTATAATAGCAAATTGTTAATGGATGTCTATGTAGATATTCCTTAAAGTGAAATTTATATCAAATGCAATATCTTTTCTTAAATTCAATGAAAAAATCATTTTTTAAAAATTAATCAATGCCTTCATAGACACCCGATGAGATGATTCGTGTTAAATAATAGTTCATAATTTGAAAGGATTGACAGCTACTTAATTAATTAAATAAATGTTTAATTAATTCTAGGAACAATATAAGGTTGGATGCAAATGCAATATTCAATCACTGTGACTATAAATACCCCGTCACATGAAGAAAAGAATCAAGTCTAGCTTAAGCATCTGCCTGCTTTCAGGCAAAAATTATAGTTATAATATGAACTTATTGCTTTTAACTTTAACTAAAATTGAAGTTGCTCTTTTGTCGCCCAGCAAGGCAAAATTATAAACCCATTCCAGCTTTTTCCAGCTGTTAGAATCCTTGTCTCATCCTGACATTGATCTCAAGCCCTTGGTCCCACAATATAGTTCTATGTAAGCATATTCTTAGTTTAAAACTATGAGTCAAGCAAATTTAATGGTGATACATATTAATATTGAAAAAAAATGACACTTCTGTTTTCAAATAGAATGTCTAAATTCTATTTTGATCCTGTCCTCAATAGGACATCTTGGTAAGCATTGACAAACTTGCTTCTTTGGCTCTCATGCATTCTCCAAAACAATATATCTCGATTTAAGCCATTTAAATAATCATTCCCTTTCATATTTAACTATAGACTTCACTTCAAGATTAATTTCATCCTCTTTGCTCTTTGATTTAAGCCATCAAAAGAACATAATTTATTGAACAATATCTTACATAGTCTAATTGCTCTTTTTCTTGAGCAGTTTTTAGGCAATGGATTGCCACTTTATATTTCTATTCCAATACTCTCTTCATCTTACTAGATTAGCTTTTCCTAATAACTTCTTGTTCAAGCTTAAACCGTTATGAACTTATTTTAAATGATTAATAACAAATGATTAAGCCTAAAATATTTAAGCAAACTAATTAGACAACAACAAAAGAGTTTTGGTATCATCAAAGACAATAAAGGTTCAACATTCATATAGTTAATTAGTAAATAAGATTAAGTAAATAATGAATAATATAATATTAAATTTTATAATTATAAATGTCAAAATTTACTTAAGCTATTAATAAAGCATTTTTTATACTTTTACATATATAAACATATTTCTAATACTTAATTGTAGTTATGCCTTTATGTTTTGAAGTTATGTGAACTTAGCAAGTTAATTCACAATTAAATCATGATTCTAGATTGAAAAAGTTTAAAATAAAAATATTAGCAAAAAATCATATATTTATTTTTTTGAATAATGAAAAATCATATCGTTAGTAAATGATATAAATAACATAATAATAAATGATTAATAACATAGTAGTAATTTATCAATAACATAACAACAACTAATTAATAACTATTATAAATGAACTCAGCTTATTGGCCCTTGAATATTTCAAGTTGTTTTTCAATTATGATAAGATGAAATTACTCTGCTCTTGGTATTTTATGTTGACAATTTATAAAAATAAAGCTATATGATACAAATCTACATATGAAATATTTAAATATTGATACATAAAAGTATAATCCTTTCATTTTGTATATTTGATGTCACTTTTAAAAAAAATTTATATGAACAAAACATGTTACATAAGTGAATCATCATATGATAAAAATGAAAAATATAATGATAATCATGTGTTTATGCATAAAATTTATAATTTCAAAACTCAAACTCGTTAAAATTTATAATTTCATAACTTAAATAAATTAGATTAATTTATTTATTTGATCCACACTATGCTTTACATTAAATTATTTATTATTAAAAATAAAATTTTACTTTTAAATAATATTAACATATTACATCATTCACGTGCAACGCATGTGTGAAGTAAACTAGTACTTGTAAATATATATAGATGTGGAGTAGTTATATATTCACAAAGTAAAGATTAAGGTATGATCCAAAACGTAAGGGTTGTGCAAAGGAGAAGCAACTTTTTTCTGCTTTTAGGCTTTAGAAGGGAAAAGCAAAATCTTCCCTATGAAATATTAAAAGAGAGCACTACTTTTTATGCTTTCTGCGTTTTGCAAAAGAATAAAACTTTTTCTTCCTTTGATTTTCACAAACCCCAAACATTCTCTCATCTTCGATAAAGCATTGGAAAGTTGAGGTATTAGCTAATTCAAAATAGATATATTTTACTAATATTGAAAGTGAAAGTTCAAACTAAAAGAAAGGATTTTAAGGAAAAACAAAAATAAAGTATTTTCTCCATCTTATTTTTTACGTTCCAAAAATATATTTTTTATTTTTAAAAAAAATAAATATTAATGAAACATCAATTTTATGGAAATTAAATATACGATAATCGACCTTTTTTTTTTTTTTTTCTTAAACTGCATGTAAAATAAAAACTAATAATTTGAAACAAAGAGAATATATAAATAAGCATCTATGCTTTAAACCTTAAAGATGTTTCTACTTTAGAATCACAAAAAGATCATTATCTCTTGACAACTTTAAATTAAAAATGTTTAAGCATAACTGCATAAGATTTTAGCTTTTTAAAAAGATTAGGGTTTTAGGAATGAGTGCATATTTTGATGAAAAAAGTGGGGTTTGATGAGTTGCATTCCGTAGCTCTTTCTCCTTTTTAACTAATGCTGTTTATTGGTGGTATTATAATTTAATTAATTAATTTTTTTTGCTTATAACTTTAATCCTTTTTCCAATGTCGAAAAGGAAGAAGCCTCCATTTAAGACTGCCTTTTTCTTCTTAATTCTTCTTCTTCTCCCTCTCTTTTTTTTTTTTTCTTTAATTTTTCGTTTTTCTTGTCTTTTCAACTTTTCACCTTTTCTTCCCAACAACTGAATTTTCTTTGCTTAATGAGGTGGCAACATTCTATTGTCTTTGATTAGTTGTTCCAGATATAAATGCATTTTCAATTGCTTCTTCTTTTCTACGTTTTCTTTATGTTCATTTTTAATTTTGGAAATTGTTCCTTTCACTAGCATTTTTGGAAACTATATTGAACTTTCCCACTTCATTTCTTTCTTGTTAATACTCACTAATATGAAAGGTTCAGCATTTAATTATTGTCACTATTAAGCGAGAACATTGAATTCAAGCACCAACAAACCTTGGGAAACATTTGTATATATTTTTATTTTTATTTTTAATATAAAAAAATTGCAACCTAAAATTAGGGGAGGAAAAATTTTCTTCTATTTCATTATGAAAAGAAATGGATTCAGCTATTTAAACGGGAGATATAATGCATATACTATTGAACCAAATGCTGAATTGCTTTTTAAACCCGATCTTATCAAGAAGTTAATCAATAAAGAAAATAATTAATCCTTGTCCTGGCTAGAAAAATTAGCAAAGAAAAAAATGCCATCAAGTTAGAAATATAAAGGGCATTAATTAATCAATCACATAATCCGAAGATTATACATTAGTAATTAATGTAGGTGGCAAATTTTGATATGATGTATGGAGCAAATCTTTGTTTAAT